TGCTGAGTTCAGAGCCAGTTTGCCTTTCTGTACCTCCAAGAAGCTAGGAAAGCAAAGGCTACTGGGATTCTGATGGTTTCAGATCCCAGGTCCATCAAGTGACAATCTGTTGTCCAGATAACCACTCCCTTTCTCTCCTCTTTCTTTAACCCCCTCCCCTTTCTAGAGTTTTTTTTAGAACGTTATCTTGCCCCTCCAACTCTGTTTCCTGAAGATGACAGGTTTCAAAATATAAATGCTGTTTATTTTGAATTTTTTAATAGAAGTTCTCATGCAGGCCCAGGTTAGCCTTGAATTCACTATGTAGCTGAAGCTGACCTTGAACTCATGATCTTCTGTCTCTACCACTCAGATCTGGGCTTACTATCCTGCTAAGTATTCTCTCTCATTTGAAAAATTTGTCCTGAAAGTTTTGTTTCTGACCCCACTCTCACTTCTGTTAGTGCTCACTGAGCATCTATCTGTCTGCCTTTGATTTTCGTGTATTCTGTTAGCCTTGAAGGACTTCTCAGAGTTTCAGAGTCATTGAGTAACAAGAACACCCACTGCCACAGATAATGCCTCTGTTTATATCTGATAGAAAAGTGTTTCCACTGCTGCTGCATTCTCCAAGGCTTCAGAGATTGACCGGACTAGGGCAGAAAGGAAATGAAAATAAGAAAAAAGAGAGAGACACATAAAAAGAAAAGATTGGATTGGATAGTCTAGGCTCTCTAATGGAGACACTAAGCCAGGGTCTCACCCCCATGCTCAGTGTGTTTATTATCACACAGCTGAACAAGGAGGCAGGCTTAGTTCATCTCAGGAGCAGTCTGTCTCAGAGAGGAGTCTTCAGGTCATAAATATCTGATGGTAGACAGCTGCAGTGGACGTTGTCTGCACATGTTGTTAACATCTGCACTGAGACTCCAGGAAGGCTTTGCTGTTGAGCCTCATCTGGGGATGGCTTTTATTCTCTCATTGGGGTCCCTGAAAAGTCCTTGGCCTGGCCGTGCCCATGGCAACAACACACATTCACTCAGGACTCCACTCCGTATACGTAGCAAATTCCACCTAAATGAAAGCTCAAATAGTAGTCATAGAGCATAATTCAAGTGTGAACTAACTAGTTGATACATGTTAGGAATTCTGTGCCAGACTTCCATACTTACCTCTGAGGTTCCTTAGCAGCACTACATATTGTTCAGGATAAATGCTAAAAAGGATTCCCCTGCCCCAAAACAATACACTAGGATGAATAAGATACAATGTTAATAACGTATGCACTGGAATATGTACATATCTCATGTAACACATCCCTTGACTAAGAGCAGAGCATTAGTCTGCTCAAAATCAAGATGAATGGGTGAACAGCTGGGATAAAGACATACAGAATTACTTTTCATTCAGCTTCTCAGTAATAGGACCTAAAACATTCCAGTCAGAACCTGTTTGTTGTGTGTTTTAGTTTTCTTAAACTGAAATGAGCCTTCAGAAAGATTCTTTAGAGAAAAGCATCAGGAGTTAACCAATAGTCAAGCTGAAAATACCACAAACCAAATGATACATTTCTCTGATTCTCAGAGAAAAAGGACTGGTCTGTTGTGTTGGTGGCCGGTGGCAGTGAGAGGTATATAACAAACAGTTCTTCCAACTCCCAAACTGAGCAGGCTGCGTAGTGCACACTGCCACTATGACTAATTGTGAAACGGCTGTCATGTAGCTCTGCTTGTAATATGGCTTGTAATAAGTAATATTTTGTTTTGTTTTTTAAAATTTGGTTGTTTTGTCTTGATCTATTGGTTTGTTTGAGGCAGGATTTCTCTGTGCAGCCTTGGCTGTCCAGGAACTCTGTATGTAGACCAGGCTGTCCTCAAACTCAGAGATCCACCTGCCTGTGCCTCCCACGTGTTGTATTGCCACTGCCCAGCAATTTTTAAATTTTTAAACAAAACTAGCTTAGTATTTGAATTGAACACTAAATCCTGAATATTCCAGCATTCAAAACTTACATTAAGCTCCATTTACTATATGTTCCTCAGTGCTCAATTATTTTACCTGGGTTTAATTTGTCTAAGTAATAAGTTTTTGCAACCATGTTTATGGCCAGAAAAGCATAAATATATTTGCCTTCCTTAGTGTTACTTTAAATCATCTACACAGATTGTGGTTTGTGTGAAAGAAGTTACTGTTTTTCTTGTTATTGTTGTTTGTTTTTTATCACAGGTTCTCCATAAAACATAGACATTAGGCAGAAAATGACTTCTATCATATAAATTAGAACTTGGTGAAAATATTTCAGAGATGGTCAAACCTGACTGTCAGCAAATAGAAAGCTTTGAGACTTTAGAGAGCTTGGCCTCTTGATCACCACAACAAAAATTGGCTTTTTCCTAAACCAAGGCCGCCCTTGATATGGCTGCTAACACTGGGGAGCCTTCCTTTATGACAATATTACACCCCAAACTGACAAATGGTTGGTAACTTGAACATTTACAAGAGACTAGGATGGCTGTGAGTTAGCCCAATGACGGGATTATTGTAGGTCCACTTCCCAGGGGCCTACCCAATGCATCCGAAAAGGAGTGCGTGGTTCTGGGAGTGGGTGCAGCCTACATGGCCTAAGACAGGGCTCTCACCCTCCTTTCACCCACATCGGAGTCCCTTGACGTTGCCCATCGTCGACAGCCTAAAACCTTCGACCATCGATGTGACTCGTCTCACATCAGTGTTTTGGGGTTGTGAACTTGTCTAAGACCCCCCCATAATTAGACATCCAAATTCAAAATTCACATAGTTGGGATTGATCATAAGATGCCTTCTCTAACTAAACAGAGAAGGGGGAGATGCCAGAAGCCAGGACCCTCGCCCTTACCCTCACCCCCCACCTTTCCCCACCTGCACAATGTCCTCTGAAGCTTGGCAACTGCAAGATCCTGCTTAGCAACTGCAGATAGACTCAAAGCAGAGTACCATATCATCTTAAGAATAGCAGGGAGACCATAACTCAAGCAGTGTACCATATCTTCTGAAGAACTGCAGGTAGATCATAATTCAAGGCAGTGTACCATATAGACCATGACATGTTTCAAGGCACAGGCCAAGAAGATTTTGTACTTTTCCACCACCTGGCCCCTCTTACCCCCTCCCCTTGTAAAACATGCTATAAAAAAGCATTTCATGTTCAAAAAATAAATAAATAAAAGAGCAAATATTTCAACTATTAAAAAAAAAAAAAAGAAATGAAACACCCGCTGGGCGGTGGTGGCGCACGCCTTTAATCCCAGCACTTGGGAGGCAGAGGCAGGCGGATTTTTGAGTTCGAGGCCAGCCTGGTCTACAGAGTGAGTTCCAGGACAGCCAGGACTACACAGAAAACCCTGTCTCAAAAAACCAAAAAAAAAAAAAAAAATACCCTGAAGAGAAGGAGGGCTGATGGTGGTGTACTTCCTGTGCACCCAACATTCACGAAGTGTCTACGGTCTAGAAAAGTTAAGTTTGATTTTATTTAGCTTTCCTCCAGAGATACTGTTCATAGGAAACATGTACTTTTGTTTTTGACTTTTTATTTTTAAGAGTTTACAGTATCCTTTTCACAGTCACACCAGATGATTAAGGCAAAAATTTCCAACTTTGATTATTGACTTATGTGCCCAGAGCTTTGCTTTCTGGAGATCAGAATCAAAGATTTGACCAGAAAGGTGATCTGTGTCCTAACTCCTGTGATTTTATGACTTCTAGTTCCCTAATGACTATAATATCAAAGAAAAGGTCATTATGCTGGGTGGTGGTGACACACGCCTTTAATCCCAGCACTTGGGAGGCAGAGGCAGGCGGATTTCTGAGTTCGAGAGTTCAAGGCCAGCCTGGTCTAGAGAGTGAGTTCCAGGACAGCCAGGGCTACACAGAGAAACCCTGTCTCGAAAAACCAAAAAAAAAAAAAAGGTCATTATGTGAAATGGAATATGGGGTTAAGAGACTTAGCCTTCACCACACAGCTTTAGTAACTACTGAAGCGTTCCAATAGTAAAGTCGTGCTATTGACGACAGTAGGGCATAGCAACATATCCAGAGCTCTGCTTTTATTATTGTCTACATTCTCGGTGTTGAGAGATTACTGCCGGGCCAGTGCGAAGGCTCAGCCGGTAGAGGCACTTACTGCCAAGCCTGACAACCTGAGTGTGAGCCCTGGGACCCATGTGGTGGAAGAGACCAGACCTTGAAAGTTATCTTCTGACCTCTAAACATATGCTGAGAGACACCAACATATGCATAGTCACAGCAAGTGTGCACGCATGCGCGCGCACCCCCACCCACATACACACGTTGTTGATAGCAGACTTTAAATGTCACCAGCTTACTAAGGTTTGAGCAGCTAAAACTTCCATTGTAGTTCTTAATTCTAATCCTTGTGGCTCTTGGGCTGGTTTTCCTGCAACTGGTGTTTGCTGTCTTTCACATATCTTTGCTTAGTATCGCTACTGTTTATCACAGTGGCTTGATTAAAATCTCTTCCTTGTTTAGAGAGACATGTCTCTAGTCTTCGAGGACAGCTGTTAACCACAGAAAATGTCTTAACAGTGAGCAAGTTGTATGCTAGTTGTGTTGCCAAGTATAATGGGTAATTAAGCACTGTTAGCCCACTCAGGTGTGGGCTGTTTTATGTCCTCAGTGGTTCCCAGACCTTGTGTAAATCACAGAGTGATGACCAGCAGTTTCACATGAGATGACAACTCTGGATTTGGGTGGGAGATGGGAGGAAGGGTTTCTAAGGAACAGAAGCAGTATGGCACTGTGGAGCACTGATGTAGCCAGAGCTGTAATTCAAGATGACTTCCCTTAGGCTAATTTCATTCCTTAATTATGGTGTGCTTGTTAACTAATAGACTACTGCTAAGCAGAGGACATCCCACAGTACCGTAATTGGGTATATGGCTTATTAAAATGCTTGATGTATGTGCTGTTGTAAATGATGTGCTTTACAGATCTAATCCTGGTACATGATGTTTAATCTATTTTAGAAACTGGATGGCTTCTACAGGGAGCCAGGCCTCTGATATAGACAAGATTTTTGGATTCTTCAATGATGGCGAACCCCCCACCAAAAAGCCCAGGTAAACAAGAGGAAGGGAATCAAAGGAATCGCAAGTTAGCATTAGTGGGAGGTGCTTACCCTGTATCATAGGCGTGTCACTAGTTAATAAGTCCTTCATTTAAAAGACTCCATTATTTTTACTTTAGATTTAACTTATTAAGGTGATTATGTACATAGTTTTCTAATTTGTTGCATTAAAGCTCATAATATCCTACTCCTCAGTGATAATCATCTTCCATTTTTTCTAATCTTGACATCTGTTTTGCTTTGGTTTTGACTGTGAAATGAGGTCTTGCTGTATAGTCCAGGCTGGCCTAGAACTCTTGCCTCAGACTCCCGGATGCTGAGCGTGCAGGCGAGCGTCTGACAGCATATATTTTAAATATTATGTGTGCTGCTATGTGTTCTCGATGGTAATAGAAAATAAGGATTTCATTTGCTTTCCTGGGTTCTAGTCCCTGTGTTGCTGCCCTGCAGGCTTCACTCTTATCTTCCCATATGTCTGTCTCAGCATTTGAGCAACCAGCTCTCAATATTTACAATATTGTGTCTTTATGAGTAGTATTAATAAGCCCAGCACTCAGGAGACAGAGGCAGGCAGATCCCTGTGAGTTTGAGGCCAGCCTGGTATACATAGCAAGTTCCAGGACAGCCAGACCTGTATAATGAGACCCTATCTTGAAAAGCAAAACAAAATAAGCCATAAATAGTATTAGTAGCCAAGCCTTAAGTGTTATGATCATATTTCCCTTTATGCCTTTTTTTTTTAAATTTCCACATTGCCAAATGTTGTCTTGGATTTTTTTGTTTTGTTTTGTTTTCTGTGTTCCTTTCCTTTTCAAACATTGACAGAAGAATTTGTCTATCATATTCTGGAAATGTTTAGAAACTTGCTAGTTTAATTGATTCTGTGGATTCTTACCTCTGTCCTCAACCTTGTTGCAGTCAACTTCTTAGTCTGCTCTTTATTTTATTCTATACTCCATTTTACTGAAGCTTTCAGGTCCCTTCCTCAGGAAGAATACATGGGAAGATAATTAATTGTTGGAGATTAATAAGTGTCTTTATCAATGTGTACATACATGCATTTAATGTTATGGTTGAGAATAGAATTTTTAGGTAGGAAAATGTTTTTTTTCTTAGACTTTTGCTAGTATCTCTGATTTCTCTGGTGACAGAAAAGAATATTCTAAAACCAAGATGGACACTGTTCTGATTAGCAGTTATTTTAGAAATCAACTAAAAAGAGGAAGTGATAATTTGGTCACAGTTTCAGAGATTTTGGTTTATGGTCTGTTGGCTCCGCTGCTTCTTTTAAAGGATTGTGAGGGAGAATATCGCTCAAGGACATGTAGAATAGAGTGTCTCGTGATTACCTCCAAGTTGGCCTTGTGACTTAGAGTCTTGCCCAATCTCAGTAATGCTCTCAAATTATGAACCCATCAGTGATTTGCCATTGATAAGGTAAGAATCCTTGATCCAGTCACCTTCCAAAAAACCCTCCCCTGAACATCACTGCTTTGGGAACCTTGGCAGTGAGGGTTCCAGATCCACACCACAACACCGGCTCTTGTCTTGTGTGATCTCTTCTGCCTTTGCTCATTAGAACTTAAAAAAATCACTTTATTCTCATTAACATAGAAATTGTATAATACCGTATTTTCTTGTGGAACTAAATATTATAGTACTTTCAAGCTACTTTTCTTAATAACTTCATTTTGAACTTCATTTTGTGTTAATCTGATATTAACCTTCCATTAAACATGTCTCTGCCTGTGTATAATTCTTGTTCAGATGTTGACCCTTCTGTCATTAGTGTGTTCCTGTGTTCTCACTTGCTCGAGTCTCTCACTGTTGGTGATAGGGTCTTTGTATGTGGCCCATCCTGAAGCTCCAGCTCTATCCCCCTGCATCAGCCTCCTGAGTGCTGTCATTACTGGATTGTGCCTCTGCCTGGCTCTGATTGGGTTGTTGTTCTGTTCTGTTTTGTTTATTTCAGTTTTACTTTCTTAAAGATTTTCTCAGTTTTTATGGATTTTTAAAAATTTCTGTTACATTTTAAATTTTCTTCAATTTTGTTGTTACTGTTTTTGTTTTTTGAAGACAAGCCATCTTACTAATGCAATCTTCCTCTCCTTCCTGCCTTGGCCTCCTGAGTGATCCCTTTCTACCTACTAGCTTGTTCGTCTGTGCCTCTTATCATGTGGGCCTTGTGCAAATTGAGTGAACACAGTTTGTCTACTCATATTTAAGCTACTGGGAAGCAGTTAGGCGTCTATATGACTGTGGATAGTAGTCAGGATTCTCTAGAGAGGCTGAGAACCCAGTAGTTACTTTTCAGCAGTCTCAATCTGATGTTGAAGGCCTGAGGGATTCCTGAAAAGCCCCTGATGTTGAGTCCAGTAGAGGGCAGGAGATAGGTTCTGTCAACTGCAGCAGCGGCAGTGGATGAACTTGTCAGCAGGGCAGGAAGGCAGTGCCACCCTCCTTTTTGTTGTCAGGCTGCCACCATGAGGTGCCACCCACATTTGGGGTGGGTCTTTCCACCTGATCAAGAAGATGCCCTATAGGTGTGCCCAGGGGGCTTTTCTCTGATTCCAGAGTCTGTCCCATTGGCAACAGTATTCACCGTCACAGTGTAATGATGAACTTTCCTCCCAGTCGGGAGCCTGGAGCAAGCTCGGCAGTCAAGGACTTCTAACTTGCCTAAAGCTGCGGGTCTTTGCTGACATAGTGGCCACTTCCCCAAAGAGAAATGCTTCCATCTCTTGAATGCATGGAGACTGGAGAAAAGGTTGAAGAATCCTAGTGCCCGGAGGCTTGCCCCAAGGGAGACTGATTGGAGAAGTCTTAGATTTCATAGATTCTTTCTTCATCCCTCCCACCTGGCACTGTGCACAGTGTTCTCAAATGCAGTCCTCTGGCTGACTTTCTGAAGACAGACTTACTGCTGAGTTTAAGTGTCACCCACCTACCCACCTGAACATGTACCTAACATTCCTGAGCTTCTACAAAGGAAACTGGGTTTTCTTATGGAACTTCTAAAGTTATGTTGCCTTCTGGTGTCTACTGTGCTGTCATCCTGTATTACCCTATTCTTTATGCATGCTGACAAAGTTCCAGCCCAGCACTGCCACCAGTAGCTGAGGACTTACACTTTAGAGACAGGCAAAGCTGCAGGAAAATATTTCAGGACAAGCAAAGCTTTTACATTTTAACATTAAGACAAGGGATGTTACATGGTTTTAATTTAGTATGGGCAGTTATGGGAAGACGCTGCTTAGGGAAAGGACAATATTCATTCAGCTCAGGCTCCTCAAGAATTGTACTGAGGTGTCTTTATGATTCTGTGGCTGTTTATGTTATATTTCTCAGTGTAATTTACAACAGGGATTAAAGATTACATAAAGTTTAAAAATGAGTAAAATTTGAGCTGAGTGAGATGGTGTATACCTGCAATTCCCACACTTGCAAGATGGAGGCAGGAGGATCAGGAGTTAGGAACCTGCAAGTTACCCGAGATACTGCCTTAAAGGACACGGACACACACACACACACACACTCACACTCACTTTGATTTAGAAAAATGAGCTGATTGTACTTATTTTTCTTCTCTTATTGAACTTCCTTTTTAAAGATTCGTTTATTTTTATGTGCAGTGATGTTTTGCCTGCATTGTGTATCTGTGTGAGAGTTCCATATCTCTCGAACTGGAGCTACAGACAGTGATGAGCTACCATGTGGGTGCTGGGAATTGAACCTGGATCTTTTGGAAGAGCAGCCAGTGCTCTTAACCACTAAGCTATCTCTCCAGGCCCTCGATTTCCCTTTTTAAATAAACTTGCAAGGTAGTTTTATAAGGTCGTTTGTCGAGATTTAGGTATGGAAGGGGCATATTACTCTCTAAAGTCAAGAAGTCAAGATTAAAACTCCCTAATCTTAAATGAGTGTGTACTTAGTTCATTTGTTGTTTTTAACAATCTTGTTCGACTTAACTCTTAGAAAAGAGAATATGATCTCTATGGGGAAGCTTTATGGTGACCAAGTTTCTGACACCCAGTTAGATTCTCAAGTGAAGGGTTGTTTTTCCTTCCCATGTCCCCTTGATTTTCCCTCTCTATCTTGCCTTAATATTTTCTTTAAAAAATGACTATTAGGGCCATCGTGATGGCTCTGTAGGTAGCACAAAGCCAGATGACCTGAGTTTAGTTCCCTGGGATCAACATGTTGAGAAGAGAAAACAACTGCCTACAGTTGTCCTCTGATTTCCACACATGTACTGTGGCATGTGCCCACACATAGACACACAAAATAAATGATGCAGGGTTGGGTATCAGCATCAGCATCAGCATCTTTGTCATCATTTAGTGGGGTAGGTAGGGATCATAAGGCACATTATTTTCTTTTTCTTTTTTTTTTTTTTGCTGAAAGTCTTTGATGGGTGTGTATACTTGCATGTGTATTTATGTACCATTTGCTATTTTTTGTTTTGTTTTTTGAGACGGGCTTTCCTTTAGCTGGCCATAAATTTCTGATCCTGCTGTCTGTGCCTCCTAAGTTCTGCGATTGTAGACTTTGGCCATCATATCCAACTTTCATTCGTCATTTTGATTCCTCATGTCAAACATACTACATTATGCGCTTCTAATAGCTTTTGACAGGTTTTTTCCCAGTAGTTGAACTGTTTAATATATGGTCATCTCTCATGTTTCTGTGTATACAGGTCTTTCTACTTATTAAATGAGTGAGTGTAGGAACTGAGAGTGGGCCGGGCAGTTCTGGGGCCTGTTTCCCAGGCTTCAGCACTGATCAGGTTTCTATCTGTAGTTGTCTTTGGAAAGGGGGTAAGGCAAGTCATGATTTTAGTGCAGTCAGAGAGAGGGAGGGGGATGAAGCATACTTGTCCTCATGCTGCCTCACAACAGGACTCTGCTCTGTGTGTGCCGTGAGAAAGGGCTGTTTGTTGTGACAAAAACCATGAGGCTCCCATCTTCTCAGAAGCCTGCTGAGTACCCCTCCAAGTGACACACAGAACAAAGCCCTGCTCAGATTGTCTCCTGATTTGGCTTTCATGCTGGGTTTTATCTTTGCTTACAAAATTTGGCATGAAGGTTTCATTGTCTTCATTGTCTTATGTTTCTCAACAAACAAAATCAACTTGATTTGTATGAAAATATTTTTTTTGAAAATAAATTAAGCATGTCCTTTTGAAATAACTATTGACTTAAAGTATAATTTAGTTGGCATAACTTCAGCTGTAATACACTTGAATTTAATGTAACATTAGTGATTTTCTTAGCTGGAGAAGACTTTGAAGGAGAAAGCTGATTTTTAAGATTGTTTTTTAGGATTCTTGAAATAGTCCATGACTTTGTTTTCCAACAAAAGCTGGAATAATATTACGGTCTTTCATTTAATCTCCTGGGGAAGTCTCAGAGACCGCAATCTTTCATTTAATCTCCTGGGGAATCTCAGAGACCGCAACCTTCGTCTTTCCAGCTGAAAGTTATCATGCGCACGCCTTTAATCCAGCACTAGGAGGCAGAGGCAGACAGGCCTTTGTCAGTTGAAGGCCAGCTTGGTCCACATAGAAAGTTCCAGGCCAGCTAAGACTGCCACAGTGAGATCCTGACTCAAGAAGCAAACAGCAGGGGTTACAGCTATTGACTAGTGAGAGCCAGCTCCATCTTTCTCTGATGTCTTTGCATGTGCCCCGGATCTACTGGACGCTCCAATCTGTTGACTTTTCCTTTTTTAGGAAGCTGCTTCCAAGTCTGAAGACCAAAAAGCCTCGAGAACTTGTGCTGGTGATTGGAACCGGCATTAGTGCTGCAGTTGCCCCGCAGGTCCCAGCCCTGAAGTCCTGGAAGGGCTTAATTCAGGCCTTACTGGATGCTGCGATTGATTTTGATCTTCTAGAAGACGAGGAAAGCAAGAAGTTTCAGAAGTGTCTCCATGAAGACAAGAACCTCGTCCATGTCGCCCACGACCTCATTCAGAAGCTCTCCCCTGTGAGTAGTCTGCTGCATGGCACGGCACAGCACGGGACGTTTCCTGAAACTGGGATTAGTGTGCTTACTTAGCAGGCATATTTGTTTATTGCTGTGTATTTATAACATTTGGCTCTTCTGAAAAGTAGCTATTTTTAGAGCCTGTTCAGGGTACTCATCCTGACCCCATTTCACTGTGATGTGCTGAGAACTTACGTGTACAGAGACGAGGTTACTGACACACTTTTGCTATTTTCCATTTACTTTTTCTATTCTCAATGTCCTGACATCCATGACTTTAAGGAGATATCAGAAAGATTTAAGTTTGGATTTTGTGTTTGAGAAAGCATCTTGTGCATCAAATACTGTCCACAAACCTGGGTGGTTCCTGGGTGTTAGGAGGAGTATAGGCATGTGCCCTGCCAAGCTGGAGATAACTCTTACTGTGTGATGGATAAAGTGAAACCACTTCTTGGTGTTCTTTTTAGAGGCTATAACTCAAAATATCCACAGTGAATTTTATCAAGCTAAGTTATCTAACTTTCCAAAGAACCTAATTGTCTTTCTTGCTTCACCTTAAAAATTTCTTGAAAATTAGGATTCACTTATGCTAGGACTAGTTATATATGCTTGAAATATTACATCCGTGAAAGCAAAGGGGTTGTGATTTCCAGGTTAGCCTGTTATGCATAACAATGCTCTCTCCCTCTCTCCCCTCCCCCTCTCCTCCCTCCCTCCCTCCCTCTCTCCCTCCCTTCCTCCCTCCCTCTCTTTCTCTCTCTTTCTCTCTCTGTCCCTCTGTCTCTCTTCCTCCCTCCTCTCTCTCTCTCTCTCTCTCTCTCTCACACACACACACACACACACACACACACGCGCGCGCGCGTACATACATACACACACCCGTGGGCAGTGGGCATAGCTCAGTTGTTAGACACTTACCTAGGACGTATATATACAGAGGCCTAGGTTTGACCCTCAGCACCATCCCACTCAACATTTAGAATATCTTTTGGCTACTATATTATTCCCAAATATATCGTAAATAAAGCTTCATGCAGTTTGTTATTTTAAACAGTCTCATGTAGCCATGGTCATCCTTAAGCTCAATATGAGGCCAAGGACAACCTGACCTAAGAGGCCTGACCCTCTGTCGAAAGTACAGGCTGCGTTGGTAGGATGGAATTAACTGCACCTTGGGAAAAGGGAGAGGGACACTTAACTTCTTAAAAGTTAGCTATCAGGAACCGGATGGTGGTGGCACACACCTTAATCCCAGCCCTCATAGGGTTAGGGAAGTTGAGGGCAAAACTTTGAATCAAGTACTTAAAACACCCAGCAGAAATTTACTGAGAGAAACACCTTTTAATGCAGCCAATTGGAGTTTCCAGTAGAGGGACTCCTGGGCAGGGCAGAGTGTCTCCTCAGGTGAGGCTTCCAAGGAACGAACAAATAGCAGCAGATACAGAGAACATTGTCAGATCAGGCACTGATGCTCATGACGTGCAGAGGAAACAGACGGGGAAGGTGAGGGAGTCACTCGGACTCAGTTGAGCGTGCTTTCTGTAGCTGGGCTTTCCATAACTGGGCTTCCAGCTTCTCTTTCTTCCCACTGTAGATGCTCTTACGGGACCAACAGTAGTAACTTGTGTTGGAAGTTCTGCCTCACTGTTCTCAAGAGCATGGTGTTTCATTCTTGGGCTGTTTTACTGCGCTTTTCTACTCAGAATTATAGGAGTAGCCTGTCCAGCCCAGACCTGGAGGACACTTTGAAACAAGTGTGCTTGGGTCTGAAGAGTGGAGCAGCTCAGTGACTTTGAACAACATATGACCATTTACCAATCGTGCACACTATACCTCCCCACTGTCTCTTGGGAATATCAATGCAAGGACCTTGACAAGGTTATATCCTAACTTAGTGTAGCATATAAAAAAGAATTCTACATCATGAGCAAGTGGTTCTTAGGAATGCAAAGTTGACTTAACATATAAATGTCAGTATAATGTACAAAGAAGGTCTTTAGACAGCAAGTAAGAGGTCAGATATGTATATCTAAGGGATCTTTTTGAAAAGAAGACTTATTTTTACTTTTTGTACATGAATATATTGCCTGCATATATATCTGTGTAATATGTCTATATGTCTTCTGCCTGTGGAGGTCAGAGGAGAGTCTTAGTTCCCCTGGAACTTAAGTTATAGATGGTTGTGAGCCATCATGTGAGTGCTGGGAATCAAATCTGGGTCCTCTGGAAAAATAACATGTGCTGCCGACCACTGAGCCGTCATCTTTCCAGCCCAGGGGTCTTTATCTTTTAGGAAACACAAGAAAGTATCTATAAGTGAGATTATTTAATACTTTGATATTGGCTCCCAACAGCTCAGTGAAGTTAGGAAAAAGTCAGGATGCATGGTAGTTTAGATTAAACTAGATTGGCTATATGTCATGATTGTTCAGATTGGGTGATTGGTACTTGGTGGGGAGGGGTGCTCATTTATTGATTTGCCTTTTTTATTGCAGTGCTGTGGATTGAACTTTTCACATGTTAGGCAGGTGTTCCACTTCTTTTTACTTTTGTGTATTTGGGAAAATATCAGTATCAGAAAAAAAAAGTTAGATTTCTTGATAGTAACACAATATGGTTAATTGGCCCCATCTATTGTTCCAGCTTCGTGTAATAAAGAAGTGACATTGTTAAAACAAGGCAGAGAGCATTTCAGTCAGAATCGGCAAGACCTTGCCATTTAAACGCCCTGGAATCCTCTGCGAATCAACTGACCTCTCACCATTTGCTTTTGTACAGTAGACCTGGGGCCAGACTCCTGGGGTCACACACTGCCTAGAGCAAGATTGGAAGGCTGGATCCCCAGTACCAACGAAGAAAAAACCAAACAACTGTGGTCTTACTTATTCATGTGGTTTTGTGAAGAATAAGTGGCATTAGCAATGCTTGAGTGACTATTTGAATTGAAATTGGAGGGTTAGAGCAGCCTAGCCACCCTTTTTCATCAAACATCAGTTTTACTTGAAAGAATGGAACTAGTGCTCAAAGTAAATGCAGTAGAAATGTTCGTGACCCTGAAGGAGATGGGGTCAGGGATGCTTGGGTTTGCTTTTCCTCTATGTGGGACTAGAAAGATGAATTACAGGGTAAAGTAAATGAAATAGTATGGTATTTACTGTGCTGTTTTGAGTGAAGGGGGAAAATTCTTAGGGCCTGAGTAGGTGTCTGACACTTCCTTTCGACTTCTAAACTCCCAATTATGAAATTTTAAATGAAAATTTCTTTGACTCAACTTAAGAGAGGACACTGGTGGGAAATTTAGTTCTGTGGTTACCTGCTCTAAGACAAAAGCTTTGATTTCAAATCTAAGGAAATCAATACAATGACAAAAGCATCTTCAATTTCCAGCAACCACATGGTGGCTCACAACCATCTGTCATGGGATCTGATGTCCTCTTTTGGTGTGTCTGAAGACAGCAACAGTGTACTTATAAATAAATCTTTAAAAAAAAAAAACTCAAACATTTAATTTACCAAATGAAGACTCAGGAGCCAGACACTGTGGTAAAAGCCTGCTAGCTCAGAGAGACAGAGAAAGCACTCAGCTGACCTTCCTCTTCAACCAGCATCACAGAAGAAAAAAATAGTTCTCCTTCTCCATGCTGTCTTACATACCTTTCAACTCAAAGACCCTCCTTTCTCTTTCCTGGGTTTTCTTATGTTCACTCCCTGTCAACTGGTTGCTTGCTCTGCCTCTTGACCCATCATTGACTTTAGCTCTTGTTTACAGAAAGCTCTTGGGTTAAAGGTTTTTGCTAGGGCTGAGCCACACCACAAGAAACAGATTTTTCCAGTTCATAGTCTCAGGGTTCACAATGCGATCAAATATCCTGCAATACATCTTTCCAAGCCCAGTGTGGTGGTTTACACCTGTAATCCCAGAGTTTGACAGGCTAGAGGATCACAAGTTCAATGCTACCCTGGGCTAGCATGTCAGGCCACATCTTTAAAAGAGAACAAACAAACATAAATCCTCACTCTTTTTAATATTGCTATACAAGATTTGATAACTCACATAAGTGAGACTAAAAGATATGTAGCTAAAGCAAGTGACTCAAGGAATTTCCAAGTTTCAATCTTTTCATAGAAACAGAACAACAACAAAACAGTTCATGGTCTTTACCCATGACTAACTCAGGGTCCACCCATGCCCTTCTCCTTGTGCTCATAGTAACCAAGCTGGTATGGGAATAGGGTGTGTATGATTGTATATATGCCTAGACCAAGTACAGTATGGAGTTACAAAACACAACAAAGAACTTCTTAGTAAGCAGTCGCTGTATTTATTAAATTTGAAACCTAATTCTGCTTTTTTGAGTAAATATTGACATATACATTGCAAAAATCAAAAGGCTGTGTAGCTATTTATACCTACTGACATATCTTGTTTCTGTCGATGTATTTGTCTTATCTGCCCTCTGCCCTAAGCCATCATTCACACAGTTCCTTTATGTAGCCTTCCAGCTTTATGAATGTTAGCAGAAATGTATGCATCCTTCCCTCACTGTTGCCGTCTCTCAGGTAACACATACTATCCTCTAGTAGGTTTTACCTGACAGTATATTGTAGAGATCGTTCCATACCATTCTCCTGTCTGTAAGTCAGTGTTGTCACTACAGCCAAATCCCTAGTTGGCTTCCAAAAAGAAAGGGGGTAGGGGTGGAAGGAGGTTCCACGCCATGGTTATCCCCACTGTTTTGTGCTTGTGATGAGATAGTACATCATGACAAGAACATGTAGTATAACAAAAATACTTTGAAAGCTAAAGGAAAGGGCCAGGGCCTCAGAGTCACCTTCTAGGATATGCCTGCAATGACCCAAGGACTTCTCACTTGGTTTTACAATTTCTTAATGGCACTTTTGTTTTCACATCTTTGATAGCTTGGGCCTTGGGGGTACATTAAAGGTCCAAATGATGGGTTACGGTCCTGGTCTTCCATCCGTGGGTTAGTCATCGGTTGCTATTGGAGATAACAAAGCACTGATAGGCTTGTATATGTCATTGTATCTGATGGCAGTTATATCTGCAGGACTCCAAGAAGTGGAATAGCTGCTGCATGTTAGGTTGGGGAAATAGACTTGGGAATCTGGTAAAGTAAGAGAGCATTGTTTCTTTAATAATAATCTGGTACTAGCACTTAGTAGTAGTTGACTATTGTGTGTAGTGACTAAGTAACTAGAGTTAATACACTCACCAGTGTTTTGGTAGGGGTAGATTTTTAGAATTTAGTATGAGTTTTACTTACGTGTATGTGCGTGTGTACACTTTGTGTGTGCCTGGGGCCCATGGAAGTCAGAAGAGGGCATCGGATCCCTTGGAACTGGAGTTGGTTATGAAGTGCCATTTGGATGATAGACGTCTAACCTGTAACCTCTGGTAGAGCAGCAAGTGTTCTTGATAACTGAGCTATCTCTCTACCCTGTCTTCACTGTTTTTGATCAGAGTATTAATTTAATTAAGTCGTGCTAGAGTCTCCTGTTGACTGCTTGTGTGCCTCAGTGTGATATAATTATTACTGTGTAATGAACCTAGATAAACTCTGAAGACCATGACCTGCATTCTTAGCCAAATAAGTTACAGATCCCTCCATCTGTTTACACGCTAGGAAAGAATCCCTTAGCTGCTGACAGCAGGGCCAGTAAGAAACCCGTGCTGTGTGGTAGAGCAGGGTAGAACCATTATGGACGGAGCCCATTAAACTGTGGCTTGTTTCCAGCAGGGCAAGGCGTAATTTTAACTGTATTCTAATGTTTTCACTGAGGAAATAGCACTTATTTGGTAAGTAATGACTAAAAAAACAAATTGGTTATTTTATAAAATGCTGTGTCTCATTAGGAAAGGAACATTGACATATGTTTATGTATCTGCTTATGTGATTCCATGGAAACTTAAACATTTCAATATTTATAGACAAGGAAACTTGGAAAGTAGAGGAGATTACTTTGAGGGAACCTAGAAGGAGCTGTCTATCCCAAGGAGTTTGAAATGTACTCCCTGGTAGCTGGATGCAGTAACTCACAGCCTTAATAGGAGCCATGTGTGGTGGCTTGCACTAGTAGCCCTAGCTTCTCCGGATGCTGAGGGAAGAAGATCGTTTGAGTCTAGGGTTTCAAGGACAGCTTGGGCGATATAGCAATTCTTCCTCTGAGCTTATACTAATGGTATAACACCAAGCATAGAGTAGGAATCAGATGTTTGTTACAATGCTTCACCTAGTTACTTTCTCGCCAAATTTCTTTTGTCCCAGGGCCACTGTGTCCTTGGTTATAAAACGAACTTCTCACCTGAAGTTAGCATTATGTTTCCTCAGTCCTTGGGAATATATATTAATTCATTGTTTAACAATGATACACATTCTGAGAAACATATTATAGCCCTTTTTGCTGCTGTGCAACCTTGTAGAGTGTTCTTATGCAAATCAAGATAACTATGATATCACTTAGATAAGTTGTACATGTGCCCTTGTTATGCAGCAGAAATCTTAGTTTTATACACCTTGAATGAAGCTAGAGAGGTAATTAAACCCATATGTTAAATGAACTATTTCAAATTGATTAATGGTTAGTATTTATTATTATTTTAGATTTTTCTTTTTTTTGAGATAGGGTTGCTCTATGTAGCCCTGGATATCCTAGTACTCACTATATAGGCCAATCTGGCTTCAAACTCACAGAAATATGCCTCTTGAATGCTGGGGTTGAAAGTGTGTACCACTACACCTGGTTCTTTATCTCTTTTCTTTCCTTTTTTTTTAAACTTTTTTTTTTTAAATTTTACATGTTTGAGTGTTTTGCCTGCTTGTATGTGTGTGTTCACATGTATGTCTGGTGTCGGCAGAGGGCATTGGATCCCCTAGAGCTAGAGTTACTGGTAGTTCCAAGCCATCTGATGTGGCTTCTGGGAATTGAACTCAGGTTCTCTGGAAGAGCATCAAATGCTCTTAACCACTTAGCTGTCTCTCTAGTCCAGTTCATATTTATTTTTAACTGTGTATATGTGGATGTGAGTGCCTGTGGAGTCCAGAAGAAGGTGCCGAATTCTTTGGAACTAGAGCTACAGGCAGTTCTGAGCCACCTGGCCTGGGTACTGAAAACCAAACTTAGTTCCTCTGCAAGAGTAGTACACAAGCTTAACCTTGGAGCCATCTCTCCAGTCCCTGAGCTTAGTACTTTTAATAACTGATAGCCATGGATATAATGCAGCAGTACATGCCCAAGGCTCTGGGTTCCGTCCCCAGCACGCACTGTAAAACAGAACAGTTGCAAAATGCAAGTTTTTAATTATGAGATTATTTTAAATCTATTCACAATTTTGTCATGTAATGGGTATTCTTTGTAGCAAGCCTATAAGCAGATTGCTGAAGTAGGTCTGGGCAGAACACTACAAGGAAGTAGTAAATGTTTTTTTAAATTAAGCAGCCATAAGCAGCCAAGTATCTAGAATTAGAAAAGGATGCTAATGGACATACAAGTAGTACAGGTGCCTGTAACCTAGCACTCTGGGCTAAAGCCAGAGGGTCACGCGTCTGAGACCAGGGTCAGTTAACTCTGTAGGGAGTTGAAGCTAGCGTGGACTGCACTTGTTCCCTGTCTTCCCCGTGTCTCTGTTAGGTTTTCTGTTGCTGTGATTAAAACACCATGACCAAAAGTAACTTGGGGAGAAAAAGGGTTTATTTTAGCATACAATCCATTGTCCACATAAGTTAGGGCAAAAAGTCAAAACAGGGCAGGAACTGAGGCAGGGGTGTGGAGAAGTGCTGCTTTCTGGTTTGCGTCTTGTGTCTTTATCAGCCTGCTTTTCCTTCCTTCTTTCCTTCCTTCTTTCTTCTTCCTTTCATTTATTTACTTTTTTATTTTGTTTTCGGGTTTTGTTGTTTTGTTTTGAGATGGTCTCTCTGTGTAGTTTTAACTATAGACGACCAGGCTAGCCTGAGTATCACTGTACTCCCGACCCTCAATATGGGGTGGGGCATATCAGTCGTTAATCAAGAAAATGCCCTGCAGATTTGCCTATATAGACAATCTGATGGAGGTTTTTTTTTTTCTCATTTGAGATCTGTCTTCCCAAACAAGTCTTAACTTGTGTTAAGTTGCCAAAAACTAACTAACAGACCGTCCTCTTAAAGATAAGGGAAGAAGTGGGGGAGAGGAAGAATATTGAAGCACAGGAGGTCTGAGTGTTGCCTTCTTAGCCGAGGCCTAATCTGAGGGTAATTGTTATTTTACTTTCTACCCTCCTCCTTTAGTCATGATCTCTTGTCCATTTGCTTCTCTTTAGAAAAGGACAGATTAGAAGCCAGGCGTGATAACACATGTAACCCCAGCCCTTGGGAGGCAGAGACAGGAAGATCGCTGGGAGAGTGAGGCCAGTTTGGCCTAAAAGTGAATCCTAAGCCAGCCAGGAATCTACTGCAAGACCCTTTCTCCAGTTCTAAATGCCTAATTAAACGGCTTGTGCTCATTTGCATCTGATGTGGTAGTATTGATCACTTACTGTTTGCTAGGCATTGCATTTAGCATGTGCCATCCTATTTTCCTTACTACAATGAGAGTGATGATGTTTTAAGTATAAAGTATTCAAGATGTGTAATTCTGCAACTGAAAACAATTTGAATTGGGTTTTGTTTTGTCTTTCAAATCTCCCATACCTGCAGCGTACCAGTAATGTTCGATCCACATTTTTCAAAGACTGTTTATATGAAGTATTTGATGACCTGGAATCAAAGATGGAAGATTCTGGAAAACAGCTCCTTCAGTCTGTTCTCCATCTGATGGAAAATGGAGCCCTAGTATTAACTACAAATTTTGATAATCTCCTAGAACTATATGCAGCTGACCAGGGAAAACAGCTTGAATCCCTTGACCTTACTGATGAGAAAAAGGTAAAATGTTAACCAGTAACTTCAGGGTAGTGGATTGTATCTTCCTCAGAAAAGCTGCCTTCTGGTCAGTATGTTAGTATTTATGTAGCAGGAGTGTTTTTAGTTACTCTTCACAATGCTATGACCAAAATACCCAACAGAAACAACCTAAAGGAGGAAAGGCTTATTTGAGCTATTTCATGGAGTTTTGGGCCTTACAGTAAAAGGAGCACAGTGGAGAGGCTTCCTTTCGTGGTGCTGGGAGCTAGAAAGTGGACCATAATCAGGACTAGATTATAACTTCATAAGTCTCTCCCCTAGTGGTCTATTTTTACTGGCAAGGCCCCACTTCCCAAAATTGCATCATGAATTGGGGACCACATCCAAACCATAAGGCTATGGCAGATATTTCTAGTTAAAACAGTAATAGTGAGAAACAAAGTTTCTTTTCCCAGCTTGTACTTTTGGAGTTGGTTGTGTTTTGAGGTAAAATCAGTATACAATAAAATACAAAGATTTTAGATATAAGTGTTGACAGTTTTTCCTAATCTTAGGGTGGGATTAGTCCTTTGAAAGACTGGAACAATAGTTTGGTTGATGACATGCTTGGCACAGGGAGTAACACTATTAGGAGGTGTGGCCTTGTTGGAGGAAGTGTGCCACTGTGGGGGTGGGCAGTGAGACCCTCCTCCTAACCACCTGAGAGCCAGTCTTCTCCTGGCAGAAGATGGCAGAACTCTCAGCTCCTCCTGCACCATGCCTGCCTGGACATTGCCACGCTCCTGCTTTGATAATAATTGACTGAACCTCTGAACCTGTAAGCCAGCCCCAATTAAATCTTCTCCTTATAAGAGTTGCCTTGATCATGGTGTCTCTTCACAGCAGTAAAACCCTAAGGTAGTACCAGGAACTGGGGTATTGCTGTGATAGGCCTGACCATGTTTTTGTTTGGAAGAATGTGGATTCGGGGACTTTGAATTTGGAAAGCCATGGAATGCTTTAAGTGGGGCATAATGGGCCAGCCTCGTAGGAATCTGGAAGATGGTGGTGCTGAGGGTGACTTGTAGGCCTGCTGGCTCCAGAGGTGTCAATGGAGAAGAATGTTAGCATGTGGCGTACAAACTGTTTTTGTGGTATTTGGGTGAAGAACATGGCTGCCTTTTGCCATGTTCTGTTGTCTGAAGAGTCTGCCTAAGGCTAAGGTAAAAGAGATTTAGATTAATTGCTTTAACAAAGGAAGTCTCAAAACAGCCTGGTATAGGTGCAAGCTGAGAACGGAGAAATATAAAATGTATGGTTCAAGTAATAAATGGACATCAGGAAGTGAAATGGAGCTGAATCCTACATTCAAGGAGAAAAACAGATGAAGGTAATGGTGACTTTAGGGCAGGATCCTACCCAACTAAGCTTAGGCCCAGGGGTGGTGGTACACACTCTTAATCCCAGGAGACAAAGCCTAGTAGATCTCTGAGTTCAAGGCCAGCCTGGGCAAGTTCTAGGTGAAGAAAAGCTTAAGTACAGGCATCTTGAATTCCAGCATTCAAGAGACAGCCATGCAGATCTCTGAGTTCAAGATCCATCTACAGAGTAAGTTCCAGAATAGCCAACCTTAGGCAGTGAGGAAGTTGGAAAGCATAAAGGTGGTAATAGAATAGGGGGGAGGGGGAAGACATGTTCCATCCCCAGCAAGCAGCAGAATGTGGCAGCCTTGGCCATGTGGCCCTGGCTTTAGAGTCAAGAATAGAAGAGGCTACTGGAGTAATTGATGCTGGTTAGCTAGAACTAAGAAATTAGCAGTGATTAAAGAGACCAGGATCACTGAGGTGAAATCTTCTGGGAAGTATTTTCTGAGAGCACAAAGAAGCTGTATTCCAGAGATAGCCAAGGTTGTCCCTCATTCTGCAGCTGCACTTGGTAATGTCTTAAGAATCAACCAGGTGGTATTGGTTTTGAAGGTATGAAGGGAGTCATGGAGAACAGCTGAGGCTTGGTACTGTGAGAGGCTGGGGAAGGCCATTGGTGAAGGTGCAGCCTTAGTTGGCAGTTGATGTCCCAGAACTGAAGGGGTGTCAAGCAAAGAAGTTGAGGTTTGGCAGAGAGAGCCTATGAGGGGCTTTTGGTGAAGGCTAATTGCAGTAGAAGATCCCAGAGTATTGGAGATGCCGGTACCATGGCATGACCAACAAGAACAGCAGCAGCAGTGGAGTGGAGTCCACCAGAGCCTACAGTGCTACAGAGACCAGTGCTGGAGATGTGACCCAAGCCCAGATGATCATGTGTGGATCCTAGACACTGGAACGAGAAGCTGTGAAGTTGAAGTTGACTTGGAGACCCCAAGATGTTAAAGATGCCAGAGTTGTGGAATACCTGCTGAGGAAAGCTGCTAACAGAGTAGAACCAGCCTAGGAGAAAGTTTGTTGCAGTCAACAAAGTTGAAAAGGGTGGTGGAGATCTGAAGAGCACTTTGACATCAGCCATGGAGATGTAGAGTTTGGAGTTTGCCCAGCTGTTTCCTGTTTTGCTTTGGGGATTACAGTTAAGTGATTGGATGAATTTCAAGAGACTTTGAACTTTGAACTTGTAACATTGTTGAGACTGCTATAGACTATGGGGACTTTGGAGGCTGGACTAAATATTTACTATGCTGTGGCTATGTATGTCCCCCATAGACTCATGTGTTTGAACAAGCCTATGGGGGCCAGGGAGTGGAATGTGGTTGTTTGAATGTTCTTAGCACAGGGAGTGGCACTATTTGGATGTGTTGTTGGAGGAAGTGTGTCACTGTGGGAGTGGGCAATGAGACCCTCCTCCTAATCACAGAAGAACCAGTCTTCTCCTTGCAGCCTTCAGATGAAGATGTAGAACTCTCAGCTCCTCCTGCACCATACCTGCCTGAATGTTGCCATGATGATAATGGACTGAACTTCTGAACTTGTAAGCAAGTCCCAATTAAATCTCCTTATAAGAGTTGCCTTGGTTATGGTGTCTTGTTCGCAGCAGTAAAATCCTAACTAAGATAGTTGGTACAGTGTGTTCCTTACAAGCACAAGGTCCCGGGGCTTGCAGGTCAGTTTTCTACTAAGCAAACTTTGGGTGTTCCAAGCCAGTGAGACAAAAAAGAGAGAAATCCTATCTCAAAAATTTAGAAAGAAAAATGGGGAGAGCTATGAGATGGTTCAGTACTTGGTACTCAACCGCCAAGCCCAATGACCTCAGTTCAGTCCCTAGGACCTACATGGTGGATGGAGAGAACCGAGTTTTGCAAGTTGTCCTCTGACCTCTACTTGTATATCATGGTACACCACTCCCAAACACAGACACACACACACCACAAATAAATAAATGGGCAAGATGTTGATGAAAAGATGACCATTTTAAGATCATTTTCCCTGCTCTGTGATGTTATAGTTTCCATTGTTTTGTCTCCTTGGAACCTGCCTTTGTAAACGTAGTTGGTGTAGTTGGTGCTCAGCTGAATAGTCTGTAAGTGGTTCCCCCAATGCCACAGGCCTGCCTTTGCTAGGGTAGTAGCTGGAATACTACAGATTGGGGGTTGAGCCAGGTGTGCTGGTGCACTGCTGTAATCTCAGGTGAGAAGATTTAAAGTTGCAGGCCAGCCTGGATTAAATAATGAGCAACAAAGAATGAGAACAGCTGGGCATAGTGGTGCACACTTAATCCCAGCACTCAGGAGGCCGAGGCGGGTGGATGGCCTTCGTTTGAGGCCAGCCAGGTCTACAAGAGTTCCAAGACAGCCGGGGCTTTAATAGAAAGATTCTACGGTGGTTGGGGAAGAGAAAAAGAGGGAAGATGGAGGAGGGTTGTACCAGGGCTTGGACCATCACCAGTGGAAATTATCATTATTCTTCAAATGGTGTCAGATTCTAGTTTCTGATAGGGACTTTCAAAGAGAAGTCACTCAATTTGCTGCCATCATTCCCAACAGTCATAACAGGAAATTGGACACATCAGGTTTTCGAATTTTTGTCCTGTGAGTCCTTGAAGCTGTAGTTATGTCCTCAGGCAGCCTCTTACACACTGACTTTGAAGCAAGTGTCACCCTGGTCAGGCTGTGTGTGTATTGTGCAGGTCCTAGAATGGGCTCAGGAGAAGAGGAAGCTGAGTGTACTGCACATCCACGGAGTCTATACCAATCCTAGTGGCATTGTCCTCCACCCAGCTGGATATCAGAATGTGCTCAGGAACACTGAAGTTATGGTAAGTAGTACTGGGCTTGGCTCTGGAAGTCACTCCTGAAGACATTTTTAAGCAAATTCTAAGTATTAACAGGACATTTACTTTTCTAGACAACTAGAGAATCAGACCTTTCTCCCTAGTCTCTTAGCACTTGAATGTGCATACCATCCTGGGGAATGTAGAAACTTGAGGTGTCAGATTATAGAATGGGTATTTATTTATCTGTACTTGGTAACACGCAGCAGATGGCACTCCCTCCCTGGTTGGCACTACCTTCACATACCAAGAATGCATTAGTCTCCTTCATCATTTGGCTTCTTAATAAGACTGTGCCCAAATAATTTAGCCAGCTTTTTAAAAATCCATTACAGTTGGATCATAGATTATAAAAAGACAGTTTACTTACTCACACCTGACTATACTTGGAAAAATTGAAAAACAATTTGATTAGGATGACAAAATAGAGATTTTCTTCTTTGGGTTTCAGGTTTTGGACTTGTTCATGTTTAAACCAGAAACACTTCTTTGGTCCAGCTCAGTGGTAGATGTTTTCAGACAGGGTCACATGGAATATTTACAAGCCAGGGCCAGAGAAAGACCGGGAAGTGTGGTGCTTTCTGAAGTATAAGGGCTTTATCCTTCTCTGATATCTGCTATGACTATGACCATCAATGATACTGAGGCAAAAAGTGTTGCCGGCCATCGATGGGCCACGGTCGACTGGGTTCACCTGAAAGAGAGGCTGGGACTGGAAGAAGGGACAGGAGGGCGGGAAGAGATGAAGCCAGGACAAAGGTTTCTGATCGAGGCTCAATGCTTTAATGTTCAGCTTCTAATTTAAAGGGGATAACCCACCCCCAGCCCCAGAGTTCCTTCTTGCTTCAGGTGGCTGGGGGTGAGTGCTGGGGGTGAGCGGAAACCATCCTGCTGGAGGTGAGAGGAATCCACACTTAATTGCGGGCCAGAGATGTCTCAAAGCAAGCTCAGCAGGCAGTCTATTCTCAGCATGTGTACCAGGCTACAGGGCAGCCAAGGAGGCACCAAGGCTGGCAATGCCAAGGCTGGCAATGCCTCCAGAGTCCTATTGTTTGGTCTATTGTGGTAAACAAGATCTCTCAGGCCCACTCAAGGCTGGGGGAAGGGCACAAAAAATCATTTATGTTTGCATGTGTGTGTATACTATATACACAGATACACACAAATGTATGTACACACAGTGATATTTTAAGAAATCAGACTTCCTTTGACCATATCTAATAATAGAATTATGTTTTCTGATGATCATTGGTTATGTTTTAAGACCAATAAAGAACAAGTTTGAAAGCTGGCAAGATTGCTCAGTGGGTATAACACTTACCACACAATGTGAGGAGCTGAGTTCTAGCCCTAGCGCTGACATGAATACCAAGGACAGTGGCAGACATCTGTAATCGCGACACGTGGAAGGTGGAGACGAGAGGAGATCCTCCAGGTCCACTGTCTAGTTAGGCGAGATGAATCTCCAAGTTAGGGTTCAAATAAGATACCTGCTTCAATATATAAAGTGGAGAGCAATAGAAAAAAAAATTCCCAACATCAAATTCTGGCCTCCACATATAACATGTATATACACATTCGTACTCAAAAAAATAAAGATTTTAAATTAGCAAATTTTGTTCAGAAAGTGGAAAAGAAGTAAAATACATCAAAGACTCATTGGTTTTCTAATTACCCAAGAACATACATCTTAAAAAAATTAAACCTGAAAGACCAGTGCCAAAGGGATGAAACTGTTTAGAAGACCTACAGAAGGACCAGACAGTTGGCTTAGTGGGTTAAGCACTTGTGCAAGCCTGAAGTCTGCCCTCAGTTCCTGGAACCCATGTAAAGGTGGGAAGGAGAGAAAGGACTTTATAGTTGTTCTCTGATTTCCACATGCATTCTTGGTATGCAGACTCATATACATACACCATACATACAGAATAATATTTTGTTTAAAAAGAAAACTTTCAGAAGAATGTCAGGTAAAAAGTACAATCTTAGACCAAGCATCACATTGTAATAATAACTAGGAAATGAAACCTTGTAATGTCTTTCCCTCTTCAATCTTGATCAGTGGGTCACTGCAGTCGGCTAAATGACAAACTGTTGGCTTTTGCTTAAGCTGTATCTGTCTTCTGAGTCATTAACGTGTTGTTTTCTTTTTCTTAAAGAGAGAGATTCAGAAACTCTATGAAAACAAGTCCTTTCTTTTCTTGGGTTGTGGCTGGACGGTGGATGACACCACTTTCCAGGCCCTGTTCCTAGAGGCTGTCAAGCATAAATCTGACCTGGAACATTTCATGTTGGTTCGAAGAGGAGATGTAGATGAATTCAAGAAGCTCCGAGAAAACATGCTGGACAAGGGGATTAAGGTCATCTCCTATGGAAATGACTATGCTGACCTTCCAGAGTATTTCAAGCGACTGACATGTGAGATCTCCACAAGAGGCCGATCAGGTAAGGAAAGGCCAACAGCCCAGCCCTTTTTTTGTGATGAATAAAACTACTACCAAGATGAGGAATGTGTAGTGTATGATCAGTTTGGGAAGGGGTGAAAGTGCCATTCGATAATGGGTAAAGAAAAACACTTAAGGATTCTTACCTTCAGGTCACCTTTCCTCAGCAGGTAGAACCCGTTGAATCTAAGCCCCACTACCTGAGTTCAGTCTCTTAACCTACTTTGGAAAGTAGTCCTTTGACCACCATACACGTGCTGTAACATATCCATCACACTCACACATGCATCACAGAGAGAGAGAGAGAGAGAGATAAAAAAATCACAGAAAGGCTGGAGAGATGGTTTGTTGTTAAGAGCACTTGCTGTTCTTCCAGAAGACCCAAGTTCAGTTCCAGCAACATCAGGAGGCTCACATCTTCACACACACACACACACACACACACACACACACACACACACCCCACATATTTTTGAAGATGCTTAGTTCAAGTGAGATGCAATTAAAACTTAGATTTCAAAATGGAGATAAATGACCATTCAGCCTTGGCTAAGTTTATCATATATATTTCAAAAATTTCAAAACCTTTTGTTTCAGAAATTCTACTGATATAATTTATCCTTTAAGAAACTTTTCCTAAAGAAATTTGTTTGTGCATGCTGTTTAAGATATCAAGTGTAGCCGGGCGGTGGTGGCGCACGCCTTTAATCCCAGCACTTGGGAGGCAGAGGCAGGTGGATTTCTGAGTTCGAGGCCAGCCTGGTCTACAGAGTGAGTTCCAGGACAGCCAGGGCTACACAGAGAAACCCTGTCTCGAAAAACCAAAAAAAAAAAAAAAAAAAAAAAAGATATCAAGTGTAACCAACCATGGTGAGACATACCTCATGGTATAATCTCAGCACTTAGAAGTCTTTAAGGCTGGAGGATCAAACTGTCAAGGCCAGGCTGGGCACCATAAAAAACTCCCAGCTTGGTGGAGGAGGGGGTGGGTATAGTCGTTCTGACTCACCAACCCAATTCTAAAGAAACATTCTTGTTATATACTATTGTTCAAGAACCTGGTTTTGTTGGATTGGTGGGGGAATTGGGTAGGAGGATGTTTTTCTTGATTGTTTGATACAGGGTCTCATAATGTAGCTTTGTTGGCCTAGAACTTGCCTGTGTCCTCAGAGATGTACCTGCCTCTGCCTCCTGAGTGCAGGCTTTGAAATAACTATGTAGTCCAGGTTGACCTCAAACTTTGAATCCTCCTGTCTCAAGTGTACAATTATAGGGATTATAAACATATACCCATTATGCCTCACCTGCTTCAAACTTTTTTATATTTAACTTATTTTATGGTCATTGGTGGTTTGCCTACACGTATGTCTGTGTGAAGGTATCAGAAGTCTTGGAATTGGACTTTACAGACAGGTGTGAGCTGCTATGTGGGTGCTAGGAATTGAACCCAGGTCCTCTGAAGAGTAACCAGTGTTTTTAACTGCTGAGCCATCTCTCTAGCCCTGCTTTAAACATCTAATGAATATTTTTAGTATCAATTTGAACATTTCTTAGACAACACATTAAAATACAGGTAATGTAGTATGTAATGTCCTTAAATCTGGTCCCTGTAACTAAACATTGAAGGCTTCGTGTGCTCTTCCCACTTCTCTCCAAAATAAAAAAGCAACACTTCGAGCTTGTCTGTTTCACGAAATCATCTGCTCTCTTTTTCTTGAAGACAATTTTTCTGGTGTCCCTCAGCTTAGCAGACCTTTAGGCTGATGTTGCAGAACTGACTAGGTTGAGTTTTTCTGTTGCATAAGCTCTGATTGTTTTACACTAGGGACACTCAGGCTCTACACAGTTGATCCACACTGAGGTCCTCTACCAGGAAAAAAAATACTCTAGGAAAACAAAGTCTGGACAACAGTACCTCCTGCTGCACTCAGTTTTAGGTTAACATCCTGAATGCTGTGGAATGGTACGGTTATTGATTTCTGATTTAATCAGTACTCTTTTTTTTGTTTCAGTTATGAACAAAGCTTTGTCTTGTGTACTTTTTTAAAAAACAAAAACACAGGGTTTTACTCTATGCTCTGTTTTTCTGAAAATAGCTCTGTAGCCCAGGTTGGACTTGAACTCATGATCTTTCATCCTTACTCTTCTGAGATAGACGTTCGTCACCATGCCCTGCTTTGCAATTACTAGTACATACATACTGACCACATGAAGTACAGCTAGTGAAATGGAAATATGTAACTTTTAGTTCAAATTAGCTATCTGTGTGAACCTGTTGAGAATAGAGTAAGCAGCCATGTTTTGTCTATGGAAGATGTTTTAGGGGCTGGAGAGACAGCTCATTTGGTAAAAGCACGAAATGCTCTGAAGGGTCTATATTCAAATCCCAGCAACCATATGGTGTTTCTCAACTGTCTATAACTCCCGTTCCAGGAATTCTGACACCTTCTTCTGGCCTTCCTCAGGCACTAGCCATGCACATGGTGCAGAAACATATGCAAGCAAAATATTCATATATGTAAAAAAATTAGTCTAAAAAATTGAAGTTATTTTAGTTTTTTGTTTTACAAGCAGTCTTGCTAGATGTCCAACTATCAGGAAGGAGCTGCTTTAGAGGATCTGGAACTGTAGCCTAACATGGCAACACAGTGAGATCCATTCAAACAAAAACCAACTTTAGTACAATAAGGAACCTCTTGTTCCTGTTTTATGACAGTCTGAAGGTTACTCTTAACCTCGTCTTGTGTCATTCCTAAATGTCTTCTTAGTTATCTGCTGTGCCCTGAGCTCCCCTTAGTTTTCATTTCTGCCATTAATAGTTTTAGCTTTCCCAGGGGCTGCCAAGCTAGCTGTGGGTAAAGGCATTTGCTGCCAAGTTTGACGACCTGAATTCTATTCCTGCAATCCATAGTGGAGAAAACAAACACCCAAAAGTTGTCCTGACTTTACCACATGTGTATTGATCTTTTATGAAAGTTTCAGCTTCTTCATCTAATGCCTATACCAATATTCTGTTTTTAGCAGGGATGGCAAGAGAAGGGCAGCTAAATGGTTCATCTGCAGCACATGGTGAAATAAGAGGTATACTATTTCCTATTCCATCAGTCACAGAAAATTTTCCGAAAACTTTTAGATTGTAGGGAATCATAATTTGCCTCTCTCTTGAGATTCTCTGAATCTTTCTGAAAAGTTAGGACTGAGTGACACCTGCAGCTTCAGATGTGTGGACTTGCTTTGGAACTTTATTGTCTTTTGTTTCTCCATAGGCTGTAGTACTTGAGCAAGCTGGAGAAATCACCATTAGACCATGCTGTGGGGCCTTCCTGTGGATGTGTTAACAAGGCAACTTGCAAAAACTCAGCACAGCTCCCAGGAAGTCCCAATACCCAGAAGTTGAAGCTTGGAGTAGAGTAGGGGTGGCAGTGCTGCACCTTCCCTTCATGCTGGCTGTTTCTCGATACTCTGCTGCCTGGTCCAGTTTAATACCCAATGACATCAGGACCCAATGCAGCTCCTACCTACCCCAAGGCTGGACAGGCTTATCTACACAGCAGACCAACGTGATGACTCTTGGCTACGGCTGCAGCTCTGCAGGACTTGAGGAGCAAGAAGTCATGGAGTCAGCGGGCTCTTGTTGCAGTTTTGTACTCTACTTGGTTTTTCAATTGAGCTTATGGCTTTTTTAAAACATGACTCGAAGCTCTAGTTTTCTAGATCTTTTACAGTGTACAGTATTTTACATAACTGAGCTGTATTAAAAGCTTGTTCATTTACATGCCAGGGCTCGGGCTCTACTTTGAAGAGTTACCGTTAAACCTGAAACTTGCATTCTATTTTCATCACAGGTAGGGTGATCTTTCTCAGGACAAGCACTTACTCAATTCCTTAGAGCACTATTAGTTCCTATCATGCCCTTGCCAAAAAGAAACCCAAGAACTATAGCTAGTATGAGTTAGCATTTTAATTTTAAATCCTATATAAAATAATATAAACCTAAGAGGCAATTTCTTTATGAAATTTATTTTCTTATATAAATTACATATTTCTCTGGGCAGACAGCCTTCACCTTATTGCACTAGTAGCACATCTGTAATACCAAACTACAGGACAAGTCTCAACAAGAGGTTTGTGTTCTTCAATGTAGCACTTGTCTACCAGGCACTGTAGAAGAGAATGAGGAAAAGCCAGAACCTGCTCAGGAGGCGAAGGGTTGGGTGGGGTATGGAACAACAATAATCCCTCTAACAACTGGTTTTCTCCCAGGAAGGTAAACATGCAAAGCTTCCATCTGGATTTTGGGAGCAGGGACAGGTTGGAAGGCAACTCTGCTCCCTTTGTTTCTGAGAGAAGTGGGCACTCGCCTTTCACTCATTTGTAACAAGGCCTAACTGATGCTTTGGGGCAACAATCGGGTGTGGAGTTCATCACCAGATTTTTAATTAGCAGCAATTAAGAATAGGCCACCATCACTGCCACAGTGAGGTGGCTGTCATCCTGGCACCAGGGACCCAGAAGCTGTAGTCTAGATAGGTGCCATTAAGATCCAGAGCTGGCTCCAGAAGTAACCCATTAGAGCTGGGACCTCAAATTGCTCCTCATCTCACCATGGCTCTGCGATCACTCTAGTTAGCAACACTCCAGCTGTTGGGTTTTCCAACCACTGGTCAAAGCTAGGATATGGAGTCTTCGGAGTCTGTAGGCAGAGTGAAGGGATGCCTGAGTAGGAAGAGGGAGGGTCGCTGGGCAGTGATTGTAACATGATTAGGCCCTCCTTGCAGGAGGAGGTAGGGTTGAACAAAGGGCTGGGTTAGAAGGAGCAGCAAGTCTCCAAAGCTCCCCGACTGCCCTTGTACTACACTGAAGACAAGCCGCTCACATACTCTAAAGCACATTCTTGATACAGGAATAGGGACTCGGGGCGAGCAAGCGGCGATTTGGTATTAGGCAAGAGCCACATTAAGCCTTCATGAGGGCAGCCACCACAGCCTTGGCATTGAGACTGCGTAGGTCACAGTATGTCTGGCCAGTACCCACAAAGACGATGGGTTTGCTCGTGATGTATGTCATAGAAATAGCAGCTCCCACCTGAAGAGAAAAAAGATGGCCAATCAACTCAAGCCCAGTTTCACTCAACGTCTCCGTTTCAGACATCTTTCCCAGTCATCCACTTTTACCTTGTCATCAATGGTGTCAAATTTGGTAAGAACAATGCCATCAATGAGCCGAGGTGTCTGAGCCATAGAATGGTCAGCCAAGGCTCTGTTGAACTTGACCAGCTGGTCCACTGCTTCGTTGCCTACTAAGGCCTCCCCCACAAACAGCACCAAGTCAGGTGTATTGACAGTGATGAGCTTGGCCAGGGCAGTCATCAGAGGGGCATTGTCCTGCATGCGGCCAGCAGTATCCACCAGCACCACATCAAAGCCTTGGTTACGTGCTAGAGAGAGAAAAACAGTCAACTCCAAGCATGTCAGTCTCACTCATACTCACTATCAACTTCTCAAGATTTCCTACCCTGGCTATGTGGAAAGTCACCCAACTGTCATTCCTGGTCACTGCCAGCTTCCTAAGATGTCCAAGTGTGGCTTATTTGAAAAGCCTACCCTGTTTACACCCAGACTCTGGATTTGGTTGCAAGGTAATGTAAGGAAAAACCTGTCCTATTCTTGGCCACTACCAAAACCGTTCAGGGAAAAAGACAGAAGTAGGGAAAATATCATTGTCAGGTCTACAGTCAGGAGACAAAAGCTTTTCCTTTAACTACACACATTACCACCCATACAAGTAATTTATCACGACTTCTCTAGTAACCACATGGTAAGTTTATAACAGCCTAAGTCTGCAAATTTCCAGGGACAAGGACACCACAAGCCCCTTGGTCCCCACACTGTACCAAAGGCAATGGCTTCCATGGCAATGCCTGCAGCGTCCTTGCCATAGCCTTTTTCAAACAACTGCACCATCGTTCGGCCACCATGCTTCTCCGGGGGATGGAGGGCAGTCAGGCGCCGGGTATGTGTACGAAGCTGCTCAACAGCCCCAGCCCGAAATGTGTCACAGGCAGCAATAAGGACACTAAAGCCATTCTCTAAAAGCCAAAAGGAAATCTGCGAAAAAGTTAAAGACAACTGTCACACAGAACCGAGACTCTGAAGCAAAGGGAAAAGCAGGCTGTGGACCTGAGCTGACCTTGGCGAGATTCGTAGACTTGCCCACTCCATTAACACCACAGAAGGTCACAACGTAAGGGCGCTGGCGACGCTGGGCATCCATGATATCCCGGAGCATGTCTACGCGCCGCTGTGGCTGCAGGATCTGCACCAGAGACTCCTGTAGAGCTTGCTTGACTGTCGAGGTCACAGCTTAAAAGGGAGATGGAGGGGCTTAGTCATAAAATCAAGTACGCTTGATATCCAACATCTGTCTGATCTAATGAAATTAAGACTATACTAGATTTTTTCCCAGAATTCAGATCACATTGTTCTATTACCTTATTATCTCAATTAACTGTCCTGTTAAGTCCTAAAGGCTGTTCTGTCATAGAGGCTTAGAAATTAAAGATGTTTGCCAAAAGGCACACACCTAAGCTGTCTGATTCTATCACCTCTGAAATGTATGAGCACTTGTGACTTGTGGAGATACTTACTGCTAAATGTCCCCATCACTTTCCCTTCTAACTTGTTGGCAACAGATTCACAGAGCTGGACAGCAATGTCAGCAGCCACATTCTTAGCTGAGAAGAGAGGGACAGCTGTGAGTTCTGTGTTAACAATGAGCAGATCTTAAGAGCACAGCTTAGAAAATGGTTCTATTCCTAATGAACTATGCCACTTAAAAGTCAACCAAGTCCTCCAGACTCACCAATGAGATGATCACGCATCTTGTCTAGCACAGACTCCATGTCTTCTCGACTCAAGCTCTTGGAACCCACCAGACCCTTCAGCATCCCAAACATGCCACCCAGAGTTCCCTTGGTAGCACTACAATTATAGAAGGTCACAAGTATGCATCAGGCCAGCAGGCAGGAGGTATGGGTCATCAGCCCTGCATCCATACCACCTCCCACCGGAAACCCTTCTACCTAGGTTTGGTATTTTGAGTGGCCCCTTCATCATCTGAGCTGCTGCAATCCAGATCTTGAAGCTGCCCCCCAGGCCCAGTTCCTCTAATCTGGAGAACATGGGCAAGGAAAAGAGATGTGATCAGGAACACTAACAGCTGAGGGAAAGAGCCCAGGATATATACCCTGTCAACATTATCTGAGACCTTGGAGAAACTCCAAATATAGTTCACTCCTCTCCCAAATCCAAATATCCCTTCCAACTGTTTCCTTCCCAATTTCTGACCAATGGTGACCATCACTCTGACCTGTATGCATCTTACCAAGTTGATATCTTCAGAAAGGGCTGCCTCTGGAGTTCCATTGGTGGTGGGAGTACTGTAATCCAAGACTTCCTTGTTAGCACAACCACCTAGTTCCCACACCCGGGGTGCTTTTTTGCCCTTCTCCTTTGGAATATCTGACTTTGTAGATTTACTGCAAAGGATCACATGAGAAAAAGTTATAGGAGAAAAGCAGAAAAGAGTCCCCTGGTCCCTGCCAGTCATCAGAGACTGGTTAATGCTGCTCACCTGGACTTGTCCAGACCCTTCCCATGCTTCTGAATGAACTCCTCTCTCTTCCTACGTATCAGCTCCTCTTTGGAAAGTTCTCCATTCTCAGGTCCCACTGGGAGACCAGACTTTTCTGCAGGGGCTGTTTTGCTGGTAGCCAAAGGGCCATCAGAACCTGTTAAGAGAAACATTACTGGAGGGGGAAAAAAACAAACACAAACCCCAACCACCCAGATAAGAACTACAGTTCTTCCAAATCCTTAAGAGCAAACTTGAACCAAACACTTTGGGGACTACAATGCCATAAGGGGATGGTAGGGTGGTAAGCATTAAGTTAGAGGAGGCCAGCAATGTCAAAGGGAGTACCACAGGCCTTTACAAGCACTATCCTAACACCTTCATGCCCTACCACATTCAGGAAGCTCAAACACACCTTCCTTTTTGGCCCCCTTTTTTTTGCTGTTTTTTGCTTTTTCCTTGGTCTTTTCCCCCCGTGTTTCAATCATGGACCTCACAGGTTTCTTAGCCTTTTCAGAATCTTCAAATTTCTTCATGGTAGCGGGAGCACGGATCTTACTGCTCTCCTCTGCCTCGCTGAAGAGAAAAGAGACTGGTTGGTCTTTCTACCCATGTAAGAGGAAGAACTCTGACTTCAGAAAAAGGTCCCACATATCAAAAGGACAGTCAGAAACAAGCTACAAAATCTTTGAAGCCATGTTGAAGCCTACAGGCAGGGCACTCTTAAATCATGAAAATTTTCCCTTTGAAGATGGAAAGCTGGGGTTGGGGATTTAGCTCAGTGGTAGAGCGCTTGCCTAGCAAGTGCAAGGTCCTGGGTTCGGTCCTCAGCTCTGGGGGAAAAAAAAAAAAAAAAAAAAAGAAGAAGATGGAAAGCCTCTCACCGAAGAAGCCGCAGGAAGTCATTTTGGAAATCAAAAGTGCCATTCAATAGACTTAAAGCACTCTGTTGCTGGATCTCTGTGCGGTACTTATCCCGGAACAGCCGGTGCACATCATCTATCAATTTGTCTACATAGGTCAGTGTGAGGATCTTCTGAAAGCCAACCTGTTTACAGAAGGACACGGGGCCAATAGATCTCCTTACATGCCAGCCCAGAATGGAAAGAAGCCAACTCAACCCAGGCCTCCAGAGATAGGTTTCCTGTCCCAAGAGGGAACCAAGCTTCCCACCTTACCCAGAAGCTGCTTTCTTTCTCCCCTCCACATTCCTATTTTTTTTTCTTTATCACATACATAATACCCACAATTAATTGGCTTGATCGACGGGGATTCTGTTGAGAACATAACATGTTTTTCATGTTTTTCTAACATACGCCCACTTACCACAAACACCAGCTCAAACTGGTTGTCCAGTTTATACTTGAGTGTGAGGGCCTCATGAGTGAAAGAGTTGTTACCTCCCCGTTCCTGGAAAAAGAGAGTTTCAGCATTCAAGCCATCCACAGCAAAACCAGACTTTGGACTATGTTTGGGAAATAACCAGATATTATCCTGGCCTCAACAAGAGACTACTGAGACATTTCTCTCTAGCATCCCACCAGAAAAAGAGAAAGACAGACAGACAGTAGGGACAGGGGATAAAGCGGGGAGAGGAGACACGACACGTGAGAGCCAGAAAGTAAACAGTCATATATAAACAATCAGATCTTCTAGCAGCTGTGAACCATTTAGTGTTCCTGAAAGGTGTTCTCACATCCACAGTCTCACCCAACCTCAAAACAACAGAAAAACCAAGCTGCCAGGATGAGTGGAGAGAGAGCTCAAGTCCATTAGGACGCCAGAACACGGCTAGAGCCCCGGAAACGGGAGGTGTGGGGGGCGGGGGGCGTCGCAAAGTTTCGGGATACTGTGATCCAGGCAAGGAAGTCGATCCCGGGTGGCCGGTAAGGGACCGGTTTAAGGTCAGGACGGAAAACGCGGAGTGATTACTGGAAGGGGGACCACAGTCTGGGTCTGAGAGACGAGAGCCCGGAGTTCTGCCCCGCGGGGGTGGTACCTGCAGCAGTACGGAACGAATCAACGCGTTCACGGGCCCGGTGCACGAGTCGCTCACGCCCTGGAAACACCAGAGCACAAGCCCACCCTTCGAGAAGATGGTGAAGAAGTCAAGCATGACGGAAGCGGGAGAAGACTTGGGGCCGAGACCGGCGCCGGGAACTCGGGCCGCGTCCGCCGCCGCTTCCTGCTGCGCCAAGCGCGGGACACGTCACACCAGCAGCCCCCCCGGAAACCGGTTCAGCCGCACTTCCGCTACGAGCCGCCGGCGTCCCGCCCCTTCCCCCTCCCCGCTCAGGACGCGCGGGATGACGTAGCGCAAGACTAGCCAATAGCAGACATGGGTGGGACTCCCGAGGCGCTAGCTCCCTATAGCGTGGAGGGGTGGAGCCTGAAGAGCACTGCCCGCTAATCGGCGCATTCGCGTCTATTCCGTGTGGCGCGGACCGATGACTGGAGGGATAGCGTGAGCAGCAGGCACCTCAAGCCGAAAGAAGCCGGGCCATGTTTCGCAGAGTCCTGCGTCTTGGCTTGGGCCCAGTCCTCCCAAACCGGGGGCTACGCACACGCAGAGGAGGCTTTACTCTGGGTAAAGCTGAGGGCAGCAGAGAGAATCTTACAGTGATTCTGGGGAGCCCCACACCTCCATATATGTGACCTTCAAGGTTCAACCCCCTGCCTCTTGCTGGCGGGACAGCCAGTTAGATGGGGAAAGGGGGCAGGCTTGCCTACTAAAGGTTAAAGAGCCGAGGCAAGTGTATGGATCTCAAGGAGGCACTTCCCAAGTGGACACTGCCATATAAACGGAAGTTTGGTGGTGGGATGGATAAGGATAAGAGACCATATAGAGAGTGCTCGGCTTTAGAAGGCTGTGCAGTATGAAGTATACCAGGGACTCGTGCTCCCTGGGCCTGGGATACCTGAGTGGAGATAGCTGTGCAGTTGAATATCTGAGAATGGGGCCTAGGAGGGAGAGCGGTCTGCAAGAGTTAAATAACGTGAGTCGCACCTAACTTGACGGGGGAAATAAAAAGTGTAATTTTAGGAAGTTGAATCTTTTCAGTGCTAGAGGAGATGCATGATAGTTGAGACTGGTGGGACGAAGATCAAACAGCAAAGTTGTAATAATACCACTGCGTATGATTTGAACATATGAGAAAGGATGACATTGGAGATGTGCCAACCCAAGTGTCTATTTCAGCCCACCTTTTCCTGTGCCCATCCTCCAACCCCCAACCACGTAGAAAAGAACATAATTCCATCTAACTGTAACGATGTTCTGCAGACTGGGATGCAAAGGTGCTTGATTTTAAGAAGAAGATTGAGTCCATCATGCCTGGAAAGCAATGTGAAATGCTGTATGATACCAGCCACCTGCCCCCAGAACAGTCGGATGTGGTCATCATAGGAGGTGGGATTCTTGGTCTGTCTGTGGCCTATTGGCTGAAGAAGCTGGAGAGTAGACGAGGTGCCATCCGGGTGCTGGTGGTGGAACAAGACCACACGGTGAGGTCAGGGAGTAGGGTAGTCAGCTTATTGAGGACACAGCCTGTAGAAGTCCAAAGGGCAGGGACTGTGCTTTGGACTTTAGAGCCTACTAGTTCCAGGTTCTTCCTCCCTCAAAAAAGACCCTTGGCAATAGCATTGTTTTGCTGGGGGAGGGGAAGAGGCTTTGTTGCTGTCTCTTTGGAGACAGGGTCTCAGTAGATAACTGAAGCTGGCCCTGAACTCAACATCTTCCGTTCTCAGCCTCCCAAGTGTTGGGATTACATATGTGACTTTTGCTTATAAAAGCAGATTCTACTGTGATCATACCTCCATGTCTAAAGGTCTGTCCAAGACAGCTTGTCCTCTGGCTACTTACTAATTCTTGCAAACAACTGCCTCTGCCTTCGTTTAGGCCCCACTATTTATGAAGTCTTGGTTGTTCTTGTTTGCTATTGGCAGTTAGCTGCAAATCTCATGTTTGTCTTTATTCTATCCTTCCGGTCCTGTAAATTACTTGTTGCAGGTTATCTTCTAACCCTTGGGCTTCCTAGCTGTTACTGTTGTGTCCCAACATGTCCAGCCCTATGAAGACAGTTGCCCTTTGCTCTTCTGCCATTGATGATTTAAAACACTGTATCTTTGAGCTGTGGGTTAACTTCCATACAGGTTTACCCATACTCCCTCCTTGAAAAATGATTCCCCTTTGCATTTAGATGTATAACTGACAGCTTCCGTTGCAGGATTCCATTACATATGACACCGTAACAGTCTACCTCAGTTTTTCTTTTCACAGTATTCGCGGGCTTCCTCCACAGGGCCTTCTGTGGGTGGGATTTGGCAGCAGTTTTCTATGCCTGAGAATGTCCAACTCTCACTCTTTTCAATCGACTTTCTACGGAACATCAATGTACGTACAGTAAGATCTGAAGGCTGGGGTGGGAGCCCCTTCTTTAGCCTAAAGATCAGTAGCCTAGCTAGCAAGGAGAACCAAAGAAAACTGTGTGTTGGAGGCAGCAAGGCATTGGGATCCTTGACTGTCTTCCAGGGTTGGTGCCTGGAGAAGGGTTTGTCCTGACCGTTTATGTCAGCCTCTTTGGAGAGCAGCTCTTTTTCTTTGCACACAGGAGTACCTGGCTGTGGTGGACGCTCCTCCTGTGGAACTTCAGTTCAACCCCTCAGGCTGTCTCTTGTTAGCTTCAGAAAAGGATGCTGCCACCTTGGAAAGCAATGTGAAAATGCAAAGGTGGGTGCCCAGCACTGCCCCGAACCACTGCCTGGCTTCCTATACTTGGTGAGCTCCTATTACACCAAGTTAGGAATGGGGAGGGTGAAGGTAATTTCATGGGACTCTCCTCGTCAGTAGCTCTTATTACCAGGAAAAATGGGCCTATTCAGACTTTCAAGGCCCCATGAGGAGGACTATCACCTAGTTGTGGAGTGGACACTTACCAGATCATAGCACCCATGTAAGATACTTCCCAAACCTAACAAACCAGAATCTCTAGGGAATGGCCAGGAGACTGGGCTTCTAACAAGAATCCTAATTTAGGGACCAGCAAACTATATAAAGGGCCAGACAGTAAATATTTTCGGTTTTGCTTGTCATTTTGTCTCTGTTTCAACTTTTCTACTCTGCCATTATAGCACAAAAGTAGCCACAGACAGAAAATAGAAATAACTGAGTGCGGTCCACAAGTAAAAGCGGGCAGCAGGTTGCTCTGAGTGTGTTGAGCTTCACGTCGATTAAGGGTTGGGCATCTTTATGATACGGGACGCACAGTCTCTCTTCTGATACACTGTGAATCTCACTAGAAACCAGATGAATGTTTTTGAATGCTAATTTAGTTAATTTAATCAGAGCATCCCATTTTACATGTGGAGAAACTGGGGCAAGATCTAGTAAAGCTGGCATTGTGCCTCAGTTTAAACTACACACTGGCTCATAGGAGTGTTTCTTGGTACTGTCATTCCCTGGCCAGGAAGTATTTTAGAAGAGACACTCATTCTGAGGGATAGGGTTGTGCTAGGCAGCAGAGAAGAAGGTGTTTCCCAGGAGGCAGTGGAAGGTGGTTCCCCACCATCTTGTGAAAGGAGAGGAGTAGGTTGGGGCAAGAAGTTGAGAGTACTGAAGGGAGACAGGAGTATAGAAAACGAAAAATGAGCCTTCACATCCGGCAGTCAAGAGAAATGGGGCCATTTGGGGCAGAGCAAAACTGAGTGAGCTGGATTTCCTCTCCTAGAGTCGGGGCCCATGTTTCTCCCCTCAGAAAACTCTCCCTAACACCTTAACTGAGATAGATGCACACATTTCTCTTAGGCAGGAAGGAGCCAAAGTCTGTCTGATGTCTCCTGAGCAGCTGCAGAACAAGTTTCCCTGGATAAACATAGAAGGAGTGGCTCTGGCATCTTATGGTGAGGCTCGCCTGCAGAACACACGGCTTTCCTTCCCTGAAGATGGGGATTGAAGGGCTCCTTGGGTTGGAAGTCTCAGTGTACCATCTCCACACTGAAGGAGGACCCCCTTCCTCCTGAACAACAGGGCCTGCCCCAAAACATGGTAGTCCTCTGGCCTTCAGCATGACTGAACTCGGGTGGAGCTGATCAAGATGACCTTCCCTGCTTCTAAATCCCTAAAGAAGCCTGTACACCACCCTAAAGGTGTACAGTGGGAAAAGGGGGGTGGAGGTCCCAATGCTTCATGAGTTTTCTTTTTCCTTATGTCAGGGTTGGAGAATGAAGGTTGGTTTGATGCCTGGTCTTTGCTCCAGGGTCTTCGTCGAAAGGTCCAGTCAATGGGAGTCTTTTTCTGCCAGGGAGAGGTGACACGTGAGTCCAAAGTCTCGTTCCCTCTGCTTATGTCTTACACTCAGGACAAGGCCTAGCCCGGGCTGTGCCTTTCTGCTCTCCGGCTCATGGAGGGTTGGTGTGAGAGGCCATGTTCTGCTAAGCAGTTCAGCTTTCTCGTCACTATACTGCCCTGTTCCTGGGTAGCTAAGTTTATTTTGATTTCTTGATGTCTGTTGAGTGTCCATGGGGAAGCACTCACCCTTCCCATTTTCTTTCCTTGAAAAATCAGTGGTGGTTGTGGAGCCAGGAATGTGGCTGTTGATGGAGTGCTTACCTAGCATGCACGAAACCCTAAGGTCCATCCTACTAGGTTATATCCCTATAGGCTTGGCACAATGCTGCATGCCTGTAACACCAGAACTCTGCAGGTACAGGCAGGAAAAATAAGAAGTTCAGGGTCAGCCTCCACTACATAGGAGGTCTGAGGCTAGTCTGTGATACATGAGACCCTTTCTCAAAAAAAAAACAGCATGACCCCCTACTTCCCTCAAGAGCTCTGTGTGTGTGTCTGTGTGTGTGTCTGTGTGTGTGTTAATTACTGTTCTATTGCTTTGACAAGATCCCTACCAAGGCAACTCTTATAAAAGAAAGAATTTGCCGGGTTGTGGTGGTGCACGCCTTTAATCCCAGCACTTGGGAGGCAGAGGCAGGCGGATTTCTGAGTTCGAGGCCAGCCTGGTCTACAGAGTGAGTTCCAGGACAGCCAGGGCTATACAGAGAAACCCTGTCTCGGAAAAAAAGAGAGAGAGAGAGAGAGAGTTCAAAAGAATTTAATTGGGGGATGCTTGGAGCTTCAGAAGATTGATCCATCATCATCATCACCACCATCACGGTAGGGAGTGTGACAGCAGCAGACACAGTGCTGGAGAGGTAGCTGTGAACTACATCCTGATCCACAGGCAGCAGGCAGAGAGAGACAGACAGACAGACTCTGGGCCTAGTACGGGCTTTAAAAACTCCAAACCTATTCCCAGTGACACACTTCCTCCAACAAGGACACACCTCCTAATCCTTCCCAAACAGTCCACCAGCTGGGGACTAAGCATGCACATATGAGCCTACAGGGCCATCCTCATTCAAACCACCATGTGTCTTTTTGTTTATTTTTATGTCTATGTTTATCCAGGGAAACTTGTTCTGCAGCTTCTCGGGAGACATCAGACAGACTTTGGCTCCTTCCAGCCTAAGAGAAATGTGTGCATCTATCTCAGTTAAGGTGTTAGGCAAGAGCATTCTGAGGGGAGAAACATGGACCCCGACTCGAGGAGAGGAAGTCCAGCTCACTCACAGCTCTGTTGGGCCTCACATGGCCCATCAACACATGTTGTTGGGCACACTAGAGCTAGAACCCAGGGTCTCATGCATGCTAGGTGTACACTCTATCCCTGAGCTAACCCTTCCTGAAGGGCTTAGTTTTTCATTTCTTTCCTGCAGGTTTCATCACTTCATCTAGCCAAATGGAGACCTCATCTGGGGAGAAGGTCGTCTTGAGAAGGATCAACAGCGTCCATGTAAGTCCCAAGTTGTAGTTGCTCCTTACTCGAGGGGAGGGCAAGGAGGGCGACTGTCTACTCAGATGTTGGTCTTCCACCTGCTTCTCTGTTCAAGTTAGACTCAAGGGCAAAGAAACCTGTCAGGATCTATTGTGTGCCCTTACCCCCTCACACACAGCCCGGCTTCCTTCCTCTTACCCTCTGGTGCCTACAGGTGAAAATGGACAAAAGCCTGGAGTATCAGCCCGTGGAGTGTGCTGTAGTGATCAATGCCGCAGGAGCCTGGTCTGGGAAAATCGCAGAGCTGGCTGGTATTGGGAAGGGCCTTCCTGGCACCCTCCAGGGCACCAAGCTGCCTGTGGAGCCAAGGAAAAGGTAGCTGCCCTCGAGACAGCGAAGGATGAAAAGACATGTTATCAAAGTTTAGGATGTATTTGTGTGTGCGCCTGTGTGGTCTGGGCAGAGGGTTGGTGAGACCTATTCCTGCGATGTCATGACTCTCCTGATCGTGACAGGTATGTGCACTTATGGCACTGCCCACAGGGACCAGGTCTGGAGACACCGTTGGTTGCAGACATCGGTGGAATCTATTTCCGACGGGAAGGATTGGGCAGCAACTACCTAGGTGGCTGTAGCCCTACTGAGGTAAATTTAGTTTCGAGGAGACATAAACAAGATGCCATTAAAGAGACAAGCCATTGAGGAGGGATGGGGAGGCTTTGCTGTCATTGGTGTTAGAATTGGAATCCACTGAAGGGAGTGATTATAGGAATCAGATCTTGGCTTGCCCTCATATTCCAAGCAATATATAAACCTTGCCTCAAGCCGGGCGGTGGTGGCGCACTCCTTTAATCCCAGCACTTGGGAGGCAGAGGCAGGCGGGTTTCTGAGTTCGAGGCCAGCCTGGTCTACAGAGTGAGTTCCAGGACAGCCAGAAGAAACCCACACAGAGAAACCCTGTCTCGAAAAACAAAACAAACAAAAAAAGCCTTGCCTCTACCTCTAATTAGGAGGAAGAACCAGACCCAACAAATCTGGAAGTGGACCATGACTTCTTCCAGAACAAAGTGTGGCCCCATTTGGTCCAGAGGGTGCCATCGTTTAAGACTCTGGAGGTAACTAAAGGGGAACAATTGTTTCTGTTAGGATTTGGCTATCAAACAGCCCCTCTTGGTCCCTTTGACCTGTTGTGTTCCCTCCAACTAACAACTGCTAAGGAACCTATTGGATCTGTCCATCACATGAACCCTGTGGCAGATGATCCCGACCAAGGGTGTGGGCTGACCTATTTGTGGCTTTACCAAGAACCTCAGCATCTTTTGCACCTGCAGGTACAGCGTGCCTGGGCTGGCTATTATGACTACAATACTTTTGACCAGAATGGCGTGGTGGGCCCCCACCCACTAGTTGTCAACATGTACTTTGCTACTGGCTTCAGTGGTCGTGGACTTCAGCATGCGCCTGGCATCGGTCGTGCTGTGGCAGAAGTGATACTAGAGGGCGACTTTCAGACCATCGACATGAGCCCCTTCCTCTTCACCCGCTTTTACTTAGAAGAGAAGTTACAGGAGTACAATATCCTCTGAGCATGAGCCTCTTCTGGGCCTCAGCAGCCCAGGCATCATCCTGTCTCACGTTGGCTTTGGTCTCTGTCTCAGTCTCCCCAGGACTATGCCAGGGATACATCCCTTTCCTCACCATCCTTTAAACCAGGCCTCTTCCCTGTGTCTCTGGAATGGAATAAGCATAGGCACAGAGACCCAGGCCAATGGAAAGTGATGAAGTAGGACCCTGGGTCTGATTGTAGCCTAGGCTGATTCACTACCCAAACAGTTCAGCTGGCATCCCGGGCATGGTGCCCAGGGCTGGCCTCCTTCCTGGTGCTGATGCAGAGAAATCTGACCAGAGCTAAGGCACAGAGCATTTCAGGATAGCCTGGCCCACATTTATTGACTTGTCTATTAACCTGTTCTTTAATCAACATATGTATGTCCCTCTGGCCGTATGTTCTTCCTACTTTTCTTCTCATGGTAGAAGCTTTTAAAGTATCATGCCATTAAAAAGGCAGCTCCAGGGGCTGGAGAGATGGATAAGAGCACTCGCTGCTCTCCCAGAGGTTCTGAGTTCAATTCCCAGCAACCATATGAAAGCTCACAACCAACCATTTGTAATGGGATCTGATGCCCACTTCTGTCCAAAGACAGACAGACTGTCTGTCCAAAGACATTGACAGAGTACTCGCATACATAAATAAATCATAAAATAAATTTTTTTTTTTTTTTTTTTAGGTTTTTCGAGACAGGGTTTCTCTGTGTAGTCCTGGCTGTCCTGGAACTCACTCTGTAGACCAGGCTGGCCTCGAACTCAGAAATCCGCCTGCCTCTGCCTCCCAAGTGCTGGGATTAAAGGCATGCGCCACCACTGCCCGGCAAAATAAATAAATCTTTAAAAAAAAAAAAAGCAGCCTAATCCTCTTGGGAATGTTTCTTAGATCCTCTGTGGGATGCATCTTGTTTGCCAGCTAGTATCCTGTTACCTGAGTTCTAAAGAAATGGGACCATTCATCTAGTCAACTTCTATAAAGGACCCAGCTTCTAGCTACGACATTCAGTCTATAGCAGGATTCAAAGTGGCTTTCTGAGTGGTGGATCATGGAGCTTTTGGGGGGGGGGGGAGCCAGAATCTGAAGAGCCATGCTAAGAAGCTTGGATTTCATCTCAGCAGAAACCCAGCAGAAGAATTTTAAATATGGAAGCAATATGACCAGGTTTTCCTTTTAAAAATCTCCCTCTGGCTAGGGGTGTAACCCAGTGGTAGGGTGCTTTCTTAGCATGTGGATGGCCCTGGGTTTGGTCCTCAGCACCAAGACAAGAGAGGTTCTGGGGGAAGTCACTGGTTCCCTTGTAGAGAACAGAGTCAGCAAAGCAGGAAGCAGGCTCTAGACAACGGCAGTTTCAGTCTGCTTAGCAGAAAACAGTCATGGTGGGAAGCGCATGGAGCAATGTGGCCATGGCAACATGAAATGGAGTCAGTTTTTCCCAGGTTTCTGGCTAAACAGCCAAATGGGTACCATGCTTCTTACCAAAATGACAGAGGGAAGAACAGCACAACCAGTAGTCTGGTGTGGGACAAACTGAAAGGAAAGTGCCCTCCGTGGGAGGTGTGATGGGTGTCTGGACTAATTGGGTGGGCAGTCTGAATGTAGACAGGCGACAGAACAGCATCAGCAAAGGAGAACCAAGTGTTAGGAACAACACAGAAAAGCTGGGTACCCACTGACAGAGGAAACGGGTGAATGCTGACCCATGAGGCAGGAGAAAACCCAGCAATACGGAATCATGAAGGCCAAGAAGTAGGCACCAGAATGAAATGTCACATGCCAGCTGGGCTCAGCACCTACCAGGTCAGTGGTGACCAGGGACTGCAATCTAAGGCACTGACAGAGAAGTTACAGAAGAGAGTGAACTCAGTGGCGCCTCCTGGGAAACTAGCTCCTTCCTCAGAAGTCCTGTGGAGTGAATAAAAAGTAAAGGAGGTAGACACCATACAGGGGAGGGGACTGGAGAGATGGGCCAGCTGGGAGTATAGAGCCTGAGCATGGTCTGAAGAGAGCCAGGAATGAGGCAGGAAGCAAAAGTCCCCAGAAGGCAGTGCTGAAATAGTAGAAGGATCTTGTCAGGAACAGGGTGGACAGGCTTTAGGCTAAAGAGATAGGTCAGAGAATTTCTTAGCCCTGGATTACGGAGGTACCCTGTAGCAGAATTTTGACAGAACCTTTGTATCTGCCATGAATCTGGTGTGATGGCACCTAAGCTTTTGGTTTGGTTTGGTTTGGTTTGGTTTGGTTTGGTTTGGTTTGGTTTTGGTTTGGTTTTGGTTTTTTGGCTTTTCGAGACAGGGTTTCTCTGTGTAGCCCTGGCTGTCCTGGAATTCACTCTGTAGACCAGGCTGGCCTCGAACTCAGAAATCCTCCTGCCTCTGCCTCCCAAGTGCTGGGATTAAAGGCATGCACCACCACTGCCAGGCTGGCCCCTAAGCTTTGAAGTAGCCTTTTGTCAGCAATCGTTATCTGAGATTTGTATGGGGTTATTCCTTTGAAGGTTTCCCAGAGCTTTTGCATATCATAGTTGGGAGATAGGTCTGGCAAACCAGGATGTCTCCCATGGCTGAGAATTGCTTAGGCTATAGTTCTTTCAAGATAGCCCCTAAATCAGATAAGTTTTGGCTTTCGGAAACTGACTTGCTAAATGTGCCTTTTATGGAACAATAAAAAGAGCTTCAAGGTGGCTATCAAGGTCAGTCCCACAGAGGCCTCCCCCTGCTGCTAAGAAGCCTGAATTCATCCCATAGTGGCTCTTTTAGATTGATCAGTCCATGTGACCCACAAACACAGTGTCCCACTGCAACTTCAGCACAGCATCAGCCTAAGGGTTCAAAGAAATAGATGTTATAATCATTAACACTTAAGGAACCCTCTACTTCTGTAGGGCTTTAATCTTGTCTCATAGGAAAGCCTTTATGGAGCCGGGCGGTGGTGGCGCATACCTTTAATCCCAGCACTTGGGAGGCAGAGGCAGGCGGATTTGTGAGTTCGAGGCCAGCCTAGTCTACAGAGTGAGTTCCAGGACAGCCAGGACTACACAGAGAAACCCTGTCTCCAAAAACAAAACAAAAACAAAGGAAAGCCTTTATGGGCATGTGATTGCATCTGTGTCGCCCTTTCAACTATGTGAGGGGCTGGGCCAAGCCCTCGTCTTTGCCCCCAAAGCCAGCAACCCCACACCTTGTCCTGTACTCTGAGTGCCCATCTGAGCATTCCTGCTGAACCCTGAAGACCCTTCCTGGCCCCAGGGAATTTATACTGCCAAGAGAGGTAGGGCAAAGGAATTTGTGGGTGGAACAGATGAAGAAAGGCTTTCCTCAGGCAAGCAAGATGGCTCAAAATGCCATTTAGGCCTGACAACTTAGTTTCAATCCCCAGAACCCAAGTTAAAATGCATGATATGGTTGCATATGTGTACAGTTCCAGGGTTCAATATGTCAGGGAAAGTAGAGACAGGAGAATTGCCTGGAACCTCAAGAGCCAGCCAGCCTGATGGTAGAAATGAGATATCCTACCTCAACAAGGTGGAAGAAGAGAACCAATCCCCAAAAGCTGCCCTCTGACCTATACACATGCAGTAATAATGTTTAAAATCCTTGTTTGTGCATGTATGCTGGGGGGAAGGAAGGAGGCCAGACAACGAGGGAGTCCTTCCTTCAAGCTGGTGTGAGCCATGCACCTGTGAGCCACTGAATATGGGTGCTGGGAATCAACTCAGGTCCTCTGGGTGAACAGCAGATGGTCTTAACCACTCCAGCCTCAATTTCTTGGCCAGGTAGAGTGGCCCAAGCCTGTAATCCCAGAACTTAGAGGCAGGAAGGTCAAAAAAGTTCAGTCATTTTAATTACAAGTTTGATGCTAGCCTAGGCTATTGGAGACCCTATCTTTCCAAAAAAGAAAGAAAGAAAGGAAGGAAGGAAGGAAGGAAGGAAGGAAGGAAGAAGGAAGGAAGGAAAGAAAGAAAGAGTGTGGGGGGGGAATGCTTTCCTAACAGGATGCAGAAAGGAGCCTGACTGGAAGGGGGCAGTTTTCACAAGCACAGCTGGGCAGAGGCCGAAGGGAGAGCAGAAATGTCCTCACCAAGGAGCTATCCACTAAGTGTGAGCAACTGCTGGGGTAGGGGTGGGGGGGTGGCGTGTGAGACAGCTCTATCCCTAAAGCTTTATCCCTAACGGAATAAGAAATGATTTAGTTGGGCCGGGCAGCGGTGGTGGCGCACGCCTTTAATCCCAGCACTTGGGAGGCAGAGACAGGCGGATTTCTGAGTTCGAGGCCAGCCTGGTCTGCAGAGTGAGTTCCAGGACAGCCAGGGCTACACAGAGAAACCCTTTCTCAAAAAACAAAAAAAAAAAAAAAAAAAAAAAAGATTTAGTCCTGAGCCATCCTTGAGTGACCATGGCCCAGGAATATAGATTTAGGTTACCCCAAACTTCATGTTCCAATGTGGACGTACCTTCGCGAAGTTTTAAAGTTTTACAGAACAAAGTCACAAATCAAGCCAAGTTTGTAATACGTTGGTGGGTACATGGCAGAGGCAGTTACAGCAAGATGGGGGGAGCTTTGCCATAGGACTCAAGTGCTATCTGATGACAGCTTTTGGGTTGGGCTAGCTAGGGGTCTGCTCAAGGAATGGCTGGCTATCCAGGGGGCTTTAGAGCTAGCTGAGCTAAGGTGAGCCTCTGGCCAGGCAAAATTCCAATCTCTCCATCTCACTGCAGTTCTAATCAGTAAATCAGTCTTTGCAGACACAGTTGCTTTCCAGGAATTCTTATGAATATTCATCTCTCACGACACCAGCCACCAGAGAATGCAATTTTGATGAGTAAACCTAGAAAGATCCTGCACGAACAGCCCCACACAGCACCAAATGCTTCCCTCAGAACAAGTTATAGTTTCGGCCGGCTGGAGAGAAAAAGAAATCAGAGAGGGCTAATCAGAGAGAGCGAGGACATTTCTGCTCTCCCTTCAGCCTCTGTCCAGCTGTGCTTGTGAAAACTGCCCATCTACCAGGGGGCAGCCCATTAATACTCGTGCCACCTGCAGCACTCATTCCATGTGAGTGTTTTTAGGTTGGTATTTTAATATCGCTTGGAAAGCAGGAAATACTGAGTGTTGTATTATTCCCTTGGCGTTTTCACAAAGCTCACAGAAAGAACTCTAGGAAGTGGGGGCAAAGGACTGTATTTCATCAGGACTTGCCAACATTTTTGCCCAGCCACCCTTTTTTGCAGTTATTTTGTGGTACCCTCAGAAATACAATTGAAATCCCTATCCTGAGGGCAAGCACTTTTGGCCAGACAGATTCCAGCCTATGGGCGGCAACATTAACAGGACCCACCTCCCAAAGGTACCGACCTCCTAGGGGCTGGCTCGGCATCTTTGACCATTTAACCTACCTTATTTGTGGTTGGGGAAGCCTCATTTTCCCCTACTGTGCGAAAGAAGCTAAGATCTGCGCCTCCCCTTTCTGGAATGTTCTCCTCATCTCCTTGCCCTCACACAGGACAAACCGGGGCCCAAGGCTTCACGGTGGCCTTAGGGAGCTCGGGTGTCCGGGTCCAGCCGCCGGTCGTGGCCAGGAGGTCAAGAATCCTGAGCGACGGGGACCGGCGAGCGCCCCCTAGGGTCCGGCCGGTGGGTGTGGACCGGAGAGTGGCTGGTGCCGGCGGGCGGGCTGTGGCCGAGGAGCTTCCGGGAGCCGGGGCGCAGGCACTTCCCGGCCGAGCCTGCAGCCCGTAGCGCTGGGTCGCGCAGGTGAGAGGGGGCGGCGGGGACGTGGGGACGCGGGGCGGTGGGTGGACGGGCCCTGCGGAGTCAGCTCTTTCCCCGGGACACCCGCTCCCCCGCCCCGCCCCTTCCAATCCAGGGTCCAGCACTCCCCCGAAAGCCGCTGTTAGTCCCGCTGGGCTTCAAGCAGCCCGGCCACGTCAAGTGGTTCTCCCTGGCTTCCTGAAGTCTCTGCCCTGGTCATAAGCTGACCCCTCTGGGCTTGACTCTGTGACCGTGTTCTGCAAGAATGTCACTTTATTTAAAGTTAAGAACCCACTGGGCGTTGCTATCACAGTCATTTAATGGGCATCCAGCAGGGATTACTACTGTGCCGAGTACCAGAGGGACTAGGAGAGTAGGAACAATTCGGTCTTTAGGTCCGCTGGGTGGCAGGTAAGCTAGAAACCGGAGAAGTTTCACTAGAGAAGGAAGTAGGGAGTTCTCCATCAGACAGACCTACCCAAGGAATGACTCAGAGGGAGCCTTTCTTGCTTTGTTTTCAGACTTTAAGAAACAATATACAACCAACATACGGAAAAGTGCACAGATGAGTCCCACCAAACCACTTTTCACAGGCTTTCTCCTGTAACATGCATCCACAACGGTAAGTCTCCGTGTGCTGCTTGATGGATAACGTTCTGTCAAAAAAGTGGACCGCGGATTGTTTATCCGTTTTTCTGCACAGAACCTGATGGATATGGTTGTTTCTCAGCTTTGGCCTGTTTTGAGTAGTGTGACTTTTGTCCCTTTGCTCAGTTTGATAGTATGCGACAGCTTTCCAAAATAGTTGTGCTTGGGGCCAGAGCAAAGACCTGGTGGTTAAGAGCACTGGCTGCTGTTTCAGAGGACCCTGGTTCAATCTCCTCACCCACATCTTTAACTCTGGTTCCAGATGACCCAATGCCCTCTCTGGCCTCTACAGGCACACGGCGTGAAAGTGATACTTAGACATTCACACAGGCAAAACGTCCATACACATAAACGATCTTTTTTTTTTTTTAAGCTAAAAATAAAAGTTGTGTTTGCTGGCTAGCTACCGCAGCAAGACACCTGTGATCTCAGCACTCTGGGGGAGGTGAGAAGAGGTAAGTTCAGGGCCAGCCTGGGCTATCAGACCCTGTCTCAGAACAAAGCAAGCAAGCAAACAGAAGTTACAGCGGTCACTGCCAGCGCAGTGCGAGCTCCCACTCTTCCTAGTCCTTATCAAGATCCAGCCAGTGTCCTCCTCTCCGTAGCTGTTCTGCTGACTGCACAGCCTCGAAGGCCCGAGGTTTCAATTTGCATTTTTCTGAGGCCTCATAAACCGAGCATCTTTTGGTCTGTTGGTCATTTGAATATCTTTACTGTTCAGGTCTACTCCCCATTCGTGTCTCTTAGCAGTTTATAGATTTGGGACCTGAGGCAGTTGTTAGATACGCGTTTTTAAATATCTTCCCTGTCTTGGTAGATTGCCTCCTCACTCTCTCAATTGTATCTTTGGAGCAAAAGTCTTCACATTATTGTTTTCCAGTTTATCATTTTCCCCTCCTACAGACTGTATCACGCTTGATTCCCCCTCCCCACAACATAAGGGCTCTCACCTGTACTCCCAGACCTCAGGGAGATTGCTATGAGTTTGAGACCAGCCTGGCCTACACAGTGAGTTCTAGGCCAGCCTCTACAGAGTGAGAGACCATGTCTCAAAAAGCAATTTGTTTTTTGCTTTGTCTACTCCAAAGTCAGAAATTATGTCACATATTTTCCTATAAGATCTTTATTGTTAGTCACAGATAACTCTCATACCCATTTAACATTTAATTTTCATGGTTTGAGATTAATTTTCCCCACAACACTACCTCAGTAGATAGAACGATTACCTAGCATGCACAAAGCCTTGGGTTGGATCCCCAGTGTGGCCTAAAACTGGGCTTGGTCCCCTTGCCAATTATCCCAGTACTTCAGAGGTAGAGGTAGAAAGATCAGAAGAAGCCCAGTGTCATCCTCGGCTGACGAGCTGAAGGCAAGCCTGGGGTAAAACAAACCTTACCTCAAAATAAGTAGGAAGAGGAGAGGAGACCTTCTTTTTCTACCCGACTAAAGTGTCACCCATATCAGAGGCGGGAGATTGCACAGGTGCAGGTCTGTTTAGTGACATTGGCTTTCTATTGTAAGGTCTGTTTAGTGACATTGGTTTTCTATTGTCAGGTCTGTTTAGTGACATTGGCTTTCTACTGTCTGCTCCCCTTCCCTGGCAGTCATTCTGCCTTCACTACCGTTGCTTTACAGTAAATCCTTTCAACTCTGGAGGTATGCAGGTCAGAGGTTGTCTTCAAGATCCTCTAGGTACTTTCTCCAACCTTTTCCCAAAGCCTTTTAAAAAGTGTATTAGGGGCATTCATTTGGGACTTGATCTGTAGCTTAGTGGTAAAGCCATATGAGGCACTGGATTCCATCCTCTCCAGCACTACTTAAAAGGGGGTGGGGGTGGGGGAAGGCTGGAGAGATGGCTCAGTGGTTAAGAGCACTGTCTGCTCTTTCAGAGGTCCTGAGTTCAATTCCCAGCAACCACATGGTGGCTCGCAACCCTCTGAAATGGGATCTGATGCCCTCTTCTGGTGTCTTAGGATAGTGACAGTGTTCTCATGTGTAAAATAAAGGAAAGGGAAAAAAAAGAGAAAGAGGGAGAACCAAGGGGTAACTAATGTCTGAAGACATGTTGTTTGTCTTTGTTTGTTTTTTGTTTTTTTGTTTTTAAGATGGGGTCTTCCTTTATAACTCTGACTGGCCTGGAACTCACTATGAAGACCAGGCTGGCTTTAACACACAAACACACAGAGATCTGCCTGCCTCTGCCTGGTGAACACTGCTGACACAATCTATGTTACATGCCCGAATATCCACATTTGGATTTAAACAAAATCCACATCAAAATAAAAACAAAACAAATACATTATTTAGTTATAGATGTTTTCAGAACTAAGACACTTAAGCATTCCAAGAGCCAATTTGAGAAATATGGCAGCATTAAGTTTGCTATGACTTGCCGGGCAGTGGTGGCGCATGCCACCTCTTGGGAGGCACTTGGGAGGCAGAGGCAGGTAGATTTCTGAGTTTGAGACCAGCCTGGTCTATAGAGTGCATTCCAGGACAGCCAGGGCTACACAGAGAAACCCTGTCTTGGAAAATAACAACAACAACAAAACAGCTCACAAGTTTGCTCCGACTCCTCTTTGGCTGGTAGGATAGGTTTCTCTATGACTAAAATACACTGAAGTGTTTGTATTTTTAATACCTTTGAGGAATTCACAGCTCTCCCCCCTCAGGCTCTCAAATGCCAGGATTATAGGCATGCTCTAGAAAACCTTCCAATGTATGCTGAAGTTTAAAATAGTGGACGGTTCTGTCCATGCAGAGACACACTTTTCGACATTTTTATTCTTCAGAACTTACAAAATGTAGTACGGAAAGCAGTTTGGAGTTTACCTTACAGAAACAATCACAAAATTTGATCAGCCCTTTTAATTTATTCACCGTTAGCTGGGAGAGGAGGCACATGCATGTAACCCCAGCACTTGGCAGGAAGAGCTGGAGTTCAAAGTCACTCTGGGCTACAGGAGACTCTACCCTAACTCCTCTCCTTAAATAAAAATGAATAAATGAATAAATAAATTCATCGCTTATAAATAGAAGCAATTTATTTGCTTTTTTAAAAAAAAATTAAACAGTAATATTAGTGGGATGGAGAGATGGCTCACCGGTTAAAGAAGGCTGGCTGCTCTTACAGGAAACCCAGGTTCAATTCGAAGCACGAATACCTCACACCTCACACCTGCCTCTTAAGTCCAATCCCAGGGAATCTGACACCCTCACACAGACATACATGCAGGCAAAACACCAACGCACATAAAAATAAAGAAATATTTTTTTAAAAATGTGTTAGTTGCCAGGCAGTGTTAGCACACCCCTTTAATCCCAGCACTTGGGAGTCAGAGGCAGGTGGATTTCTGAGTTCAAGGCTAGCCTGGTCTACAGAGTGAGTTCCAGGACAGCCAGGGCTACACAGAGAAACCCTGTCTCGAAAAAACAAACAAAAAAAGTGTTAGTATGTGTGTATGATGGGGTGTGTACACGTGTGTGTATGTGTGGGTATGGGTGTGTGTGGGTGTGTAAGGCAGAGGTTAACTTTATGGAGTTGGCTCTCTCTTTATATGGATTCTGAGAATAGAATTCATGTCACCAGGTCTATACAGACAGCTTTATCACCTGAGCCATCTTGCTGGCCTCCTTTTTGGCTTGTTTGTATGTGTATATATGTTCTGAGATAGGATCTCAGTTTGTATCCAAGACTTGCCTCAAAGTCTCTATGTAACCCAGGCTAGCCTCAAACTCATGATCTTACTGCCTCATCTTCCTAGTGCTGGAATCATAAGCATCCACCACTGTTGTTGGCTCTCAGAGTTTTTCAGGTTTTTTTTTTTGTAGTGTGTGTGTGTGTGTGTGTGTGTGTGGTGTTTTTTTTTTTTCACTAGGGATTGGCAAGCACTGAACACTCCCTAAGTCACAATTCCAGCGCTTCACTGCTCATCATACACCCGACATGACGTACGTCCTCCGTACCCACGCTGCGGCACGTTCTCGTGCCCCCCTCAAACACACATGATACTTATATGGTTTTAATTTAAAAGGCAAGTAAATTGCTGCTATTTATAAGCAGTGAGATTATTTATTTATTTATTGGGAGGAGGGGTTAAGGTAGGGTCTCCCATAGCCCAATCTGGCCTTTAGTTCACTCTTTTAGCCCCCAGATTGACTTTGAGCTCTGGAACATTGATAACACTAGCACATAGGAGCCTGAGATAGGATCAAATTTTTATGTTTTTTGGGGTTTTTTTTTGTTTTTTTGTTTTTGGTTTTTGGTTTTTCGAGACAGGGTTTCCCTGTGTAGCCCTGGCTGTCCTGGAACTCACTCTGTAGACCAGGCTGGCCTCTGCCTCCCAAGTGCTGGGATTAAAGGCGTGCGCCACCACCACCCGGCCATCTTACTCCTTTACGAATTTTTTTTTTTTAAAAGAAAAAGTAAATTCTTATGAGCCCCAATGAATCCGAGATCAGACAAAGCCAGTGATCAGACCTTCGTTTGGATTCGCCATCTTATCTGACTAGATGTGTGGTGATTGGCACGCTGCGTCTTGGAAAAGTTAAGTCATGTCTGTGTGATGGCTCCCCAGCCTTGGCTACAGAAGAACTAATAGCTTTGAAAAGGGAAGGTGTGTGAGGTTTTGTCCCGGAAGGATGTGGTTACTGGAACTTATCTGTCACCTTGCACAATTATCCTGTCAGAGAAGCTGTTATTTCTTATGCTTACACTTTTCCGTAACGACAGTTCAAGGACATATTGCACCCTCGACTCACCCCCGCTCCCAGTGGATATGCTACTGAACAACCGATTTAGTCCTCCTTCTGATCCTCTTTCTTCTCCTTCTTTCCCTCCCACCTCTCTCTTCTTCCCCTTATCCCATGAGTGCTGGGCTCCATCGCTGTGCGCTAAGCAAGCATCCGGCTGCTTCTCTAGCGTTATTATTTTTCCCCGAAGCAATTAAAAAAAGGCGGTTGCCCCAAATCAGGATGCGTTGTCAGAAGAGTGAGTTATTTCAGAAACCTTCCTTTCTCCCCTCCTCTTCCTGACCCTCTTCCTTCTCCTCCTCCTCCTCCTCGTTTTGTCTTTACGGTACTGAGAGTTGATCCAGGGTTTTGTAAATGCTAAGCGCGTGCTCTTTCACTAAGCTACACCCCCAGCCCTGTTTCATAAAGCTTTTACATCTTTATATTCAAGTAGAATGTCATATTACATGAACTTTGGTCTCCAAACTAGTTTTTATGCCATTTTAAACTTTAGAATATTACTTTTAAAACTTAAATGAAGGTTGGGGATCTAGCTCCGTGGTGGTAGAGAGCTTGCCTAGCCGGCTCCAGGCCCTGGGTTTAGTTCCCAGCTCTCAGGGGAGGGGCAGGGGATGGAACAACAAAATAACACAAAAGCTAGGTGTGGTGGTGTGTGTTTTTAATCCCAGTACTCCAGGAGACAGAGGCAGGTGGATTTCTTTGAGTTCAAGGCCAGTCTGGTCTGTAAAATGAGTACCAGGAGACCCAGAGCTGTTACACAGAGAAACCCTTAAAAAACCAAAGTGAATGAATGAATGACTTCCCAGATTGTATCAAGGCCACACAATACATTTTATATTAAAACAAAAATCAAGAAAATCTTTAGAGAATATTAGAGTTAAGTGATCTTATGTCTACTGCCAGGAAGAAAGACTTTTTTTTTAATTTATTATTTTAAAGATTGACTTTTATTTGTGTGCATTTGTCTATGTAAGTGTATGCCATGGTGGGGCGTGCCTTGGAGGACAGGTGGAGTTATAGGCAGTTGCGACGCATGTGAGAGCTGGGACCCAAACTGGGGTTCTCTGGAAGGAGGAGCAAGCTGGAACAGATATCTTGAATGGTTTCCTGAGGTGTAGAGCGACAGCAGCCCCTGAGCAGGAAAAGTCTTTCAAAGCCCTCTAGTGGTCAGAGAGAGGTACTGCAGAGCTACCAACTCTCCCTTAGGTTGTCAGAAGCCTGGAGAACCGGAAGAAGCTCCTGCAGACAGGCTCAGTCCACTCTAGGTATCGTCCTCTGTGATGTGCCTGCTTTTCTCTTTCAAGTATCGCCTCTGACTCCGGCACTCTTCCTTTGTTCTGTGTTAGTGAGACAGATGCCTTCGGGAATTACTTCAAGGACAAAAAGCTACACAGAGCTCGTGGTTCCTGAGGGTTTGATTCGGCATAGCCAGAGGGCGTGGTAGAGCAGTATAGTTCTCGCCACGGTGGCTGGGAAGCAGAGAGGGAATACCGGAAAGAGACAGGACAAGATCTAACCTGCAAGGGCCCTCCTCCGGTGACCTGCTTTTCTCTACTGGGCTATACTTCCAGCCCTCACACTTCCCAGCCACGCCCTCAAATTATGAATCCATCAAGGGATTTGATGCATTCACTTTCAAATCATCTCTGGGAGCGCCCTCCCAAATATCCCCGGGGGAGTGCCTTCCTAGTCTCCTATGCGTTTCTCATCGTCATCGGGCCAGCCATTAAGATCAGTCACCACACGCCTTGGTTGCTGCAGCTGTGTACGGTTTTGAGAACTGTGGTATTGTTCATTAACGTCTAACAGACTCATGTTTTTAAATTTTTGACACCTCTGATTACAGTGTCTCTAATAATCAGATTTGTTTCTCTATGAATTCCCAGAGGGGGCTTTTGTTACTTCTATAGATACAGCAAAAAGCCAGAAAGCTTCCGATCCCAGCTCCCTACCAGTCCTTCAGCTGGAGAATTGCCTCTAGAATGCTAGGGCTCCCTGCATTGGAACAGGTGCTGCTGCCATAGACAGTCTTCTCCCTAAAACCAAAGGTAAAAGAGCCTCCAGCATCAGGACCACTCTATCCTTGCAGTGTAAAGGGAACACATCAAGTCACTCATCTAAGCATTCTTTTTCTCTTTTTTGTTTTGTTTTGTTTTGTTTTTCGAGACAGGGTTTCTCTGTGTGGCCCTGGCTGTCCTGGAACTCACTCTGTAGACCAGGCCGGCCTCAAACTCTCGAACTCAGAAATCCGCCTGCCTCTGCCTCCCAAGTGCTGGGATCAAAGGCATGCGCCACCACCGCCCGGCTCATCTAAGCATTCTTAGTCCTTAGCATTTTCATGCAAATTCTGAAGCGATTTGATAACCTCTACCCCAAAATGAAAAATCAAAAAAAGACCTTCTGGAATCAGAGAGAGCACTGAACTAAAGATCAGTTTGGGGAAGATTCATGTCATAACATTGAGTCTTACAAACCAAATACATCCCCCTTATGTCTAGGACAAGGTGACTTCAGTGAGTAAAAATGCTTGCTGTACAAACCTGATGACCTGAGTTTGGTCCCCAGGATCTGTGCTGGAAAGAGAGAACCAGCTGCTTTCTATCTTTGACACTTGTGCTGCAGAATAGTGCGTGCACACACACACACTCTCTAAAGAATTAAAAACTAAGGGCTAAACTCAAGTACTAAGGACTGAGATTTAAAAGTACTATGTTCTCTTCCATAGCTAGTTTTTAACTTTATATTCCTAGGTGATCTGAAACTCATTGCATGGCCAAAGCTGGCCTAGAACTTGCAGCCGCCCTTCTGTGGGTACTGAGATTACAGGTGTATGCCACCATACCCAGGTGTTTGTTTTCTTTTTCAAATAGAGTCTCAACAGATTTCTGAGATTCGTCTAAACTCATAGATATAAGTGATCCCCCTGCCTCAACAGCCTGTGTACAGGTTATGCCATTGAATCCGGATAGATTATTTTAATGACATACTAACCCTTGATATTTTAACAATTTTTTACACGTGAGCTACTATTAGCACATGGGAATGCAGAGTTGCAGTTTCTAGTATTACAATGTTCCCCATTTCACAGATGGAGACACCAAGACCTAGGAAGACTGTCGAAGGCCGTGGTCAGCAGGAGGTTCAAATCCATGCAATCTACCTGTAGTCGGCAGTCTTTGCCATTTTATGACATTGTCTCCCTAGCTGACAGGTAAAGGCTAGGTGAGTGAACAAATGGGGCTAGGGGAAGACAGACAGAGGAAATATAGCAAGACTCGCTTCAAGTATTCCTACAGCTCAGCACTCGTGTACTTATCCAAACAGTCAGTCCTTCCTTCTCCCATTTCAGCATGGACCCAGGAAGTCCTTCTGAAGAACTGCCTCTCTATGCTCTGTGTTTTCCCAGATCCCAAATGCCCTCCTGGGAATCCAGGTGAATCGGAGAACAATCACTGTACCAAGTTCATACCTTGTAAGTCCAGTCACGCTGCACAGATCTGGTTTATTCCCCTGGTCCCGTGAACCCGTTAGCGACTGAGCCATTAGAGACTAGGAGAGAAGCAGAACCTCTGGGTAGGTAACCGCCGCTTTTGTGATTCCCTGTTCCTGGCAGGATGGCTGCTCCATGAAGTTAAGACTGGATCTCTTGTCTCCTGCTGTTCCCCCGATGCCTGCTCTTTCATGGTTAGTTTGGAGGCCTGCACTATGGCTTCATCCTCCTCCACCCCAGCCTCCTCCGCTCAGTCCAAGAAAACTCGAGACAAGATAGCCGGTAAGTAGAGCCTGCCTGCTAACTAGGATCTGGTTCCTAAGAGAATCCTCCCTAGTCTGCTGGTGAGGTGGAAGGACTCACTTGTCCAAACTCAGGGAAGAGACGGAAGAAAGACTGGTGATAGGGGGGAAGCCGCTGTTGGGACCACCCAAAGCTTCTTGGAGAGGGAGGAATAAGGTACGCAAAATGGATTCTGTGGAACTGTATTTCAGATTTTTTTTGGTATCCTGCTTGTCCTGAAAACCATTGCGCTGAGTACTTAACATGGTGTATCTGAATCTTTTTCTAGAACCTTTATGAGGAAGGAAACAAGGAAAGACAAAAACGAGACAGTCCCCAGGACAGCTGAGTTTTAATATTATGGAGTACTTAGAATTTACTAGGCACTGCCTTATCTCTTTTCACCTTAAAGAACAAAACACACCCATTTTATAGATGAGGAAGTTGAGATCTAGGCCAATTTGCTTAAGGCCATAGACACAGTATGGCAGGTTTACAGTCAGATCTGGTGCCTGAGCGAAGTGTGACCAAGTTCTGTGTTCTCTGGGAGCTCTGACTAATAGCCCTTAGCTTCTGAACAACAGAACAGATTCCAGTCCCCTGGCCCTTTTTCTTTTTACTTAGTTATTCATTTGCTTTGACCCAGACTGCCTTGAAACTGTCATTGCAGTTGAGGGTGACCCTGAACTTCTGGTCCTCCCAAGTGCTAGGCTTACAGGCACATAGTTCATCTTCATACAGCACTGAGTCCATCTTCCCTGGCCCTTTTCATGCATACCTTCATCTAAATTCACCTCCTCTCAGAGCTGCAGCTGGATCTGATTAACCCTTAAATACAGATGTAGTTCTTTGTCCACTTGCATAGGCAGTTAACTATGGTTGTAGACCTCCTGATTTTTTGTTTTGTTTTGTTTTGTTTTTAAAGACAGGGTTTCTCTGTGTAGTCCTGGCTGTCCTGGAATTCACTCTGTAGACCAGGCTGGCCTCGAACTCAGAAATCCTCCTGTCTCTGCCTTCCAAGTGCTGAGATTAAAGGCATGCACCACCACCGCCTGGCCAGATTTTATTTTTAAGAAGCCCTCTCCATGTCATTCAGCCTAGCCTTGAACTACTATCCCCTCACTGTCTCAGCCTCCTGGGTAGCTAGACCACAACAAACTCTACCTCTCTAAGGTGACCTTACCCCACTAAGGCGCCTTTCTTAATTGGACTGGTAAAACCCAATTTGGACAGGATTCAAATTGAGGATTTGAATCTCAGTGTTGGGGAACCTTTAAAGATAGCAGGAACTCTTAGACAAGAGACCTGAGGGCTGTGCCAAACAGCAAGGTAGTAGGACTCTGCGGGTAAGGTGAAGCTGGCAGAATCCTGTCCCTTTTCCTTGGGGATCTTCAGCTAGCTGGCCACAAATCTCAGCTCAGTGTTTCTCCCTTGCAGAATGGTTCAGGCAGGCTCTGTTGAAGAAGCCCAAGAAGATTCCAGTCTCCCAGGAAAGCCACCTCAGTGATGCTTCACAGACAGCCACACAGGATGGTCTCTCACCCGGGAGTCGCAGCTCACCCCCGAGTCACAGTTCACCCGAGAGCCGCAGCTCGCCCCGCAGTTCAGGAATGTCACCTACCTCGCCACCAACACACGTGGACAGCAGCAGCAGCAGCGGCCGCTGGAGCAAAGACTACGATGTCTGCGTGTGCCACAGTGAGGAGGACTTAGAGGTGGCCCAGGAGCTGGTGTCCTACTTGGAGGGCAGCAAGGCCAGTCTACGCTGTTTTCTGCAGCTTCGGGATGCAGCCCCAGGTGGCGCCATTGTTTCCGAGCTATGCCAGGCCCTGAGTAGTAGCCACTGCCGCGTGCTGCTCATTACCCCAGGCTTCCTTCGGGACCCCTGGTGCAAGTACCAGATGCTGCAGGCCCTGACGGAGGCCCCGGGGGCAGAGGGTTGCACCATACCCCTGCTATCCGGCCTGACCAGAGCAGCCTATCCGCCGGAACTCCGATTCATGTACTATGTGGATGGCCGAGGCCAGGACGGTGGCTTTTACCAAGTCAAGGAGGCTGTTATACACTGTAAGTTACAGGAGGGCTAGGAAGGGGGGTGGGGAGGGGGAGGAGTCATCCAGTGTTTTGTAAGGACTTTAGGAGATAGTCTCTGTAGTGCCAGCGATTGATGGAGCTTCTGGAGAATATTGGCTGGATTTGTATCCTGGCACCTTCACCCAGCAGCGTTTGAGAAGTTACTTGGTCATGTTACGTAGCCCCTCTGAACCTCCAGTTTTCCTTGTTCATTAGGAATCTGTTACTGTAGAATGAGCACATGTCAAGAATTGATAACAGGCAGGGCCCTACCACAAACGGAACCCTCAATTCACATTAAGTATCAAGTAGTATTAGTGATCATACTGGGACTCTCTCCGAAATTGGATGAGAGGTGTGTTCCAAGGGCGGAACAGATGCCAGGAGTGACATCAGTTCAGCAACGCAGAGTGGTGAAAAGGTAACAGGAACCAGTTGTATCCTGTGAGTGTGTTAAAGGAGGGACATTGTAGCAGGTGGGGCAGAAAACAGGCTGAAAACGGAAGAGGGGAGGAACAGATGTGCTGGGTTTAGGCAGTGTGACATTCTCTTTGGTCTCTTTCAGATCTGGAGACACTAAGCTGACACGTCACCTTTCACAAGAGAAGCTGGAGATAGCTCACAGCAAGCATTAGTCCAGCATATATGGCAGGAGGCATCAGGAACCGGAGCCAGCTAAACTCACTCGGTTCATGACACAGGATCAGACTGCCTCCAGCTTCCATTACTGTGGGGTCCAGGCAGCCAGGCAGAAGATGGGAACCACCCCTGAAAGGAGTCCAAGAAGAAGATAGGGACTCCCCAGAGACCAGGAAGAAGATGGGGACTCCCCAAGAAGGGCAGGAGGAAGCCAGGGACTCCCCCAGGAAGACGACGAGGAAGTCAGAAATTCAAGTTGTCAAGGGACTGTGCTATCAGGAAGGTCAGCAGTGTCTCGTCTGCTGCTTCACTGGATAGAAAGCTGACTCATGGATGTCTTCTTCCCTTGGCATCAGGCACTGGGGGAAATAGGTACCATTCCTCAAGAGGGATGACCCTGATTGATGAGCCAGAAGTTGCCCAGGGAAGCTGGGAAGAGGTGGCAAGCATCCAGTCCTTCACACACACACTACCGAAACTTCACTCACTTCACAAAGCTGGATGGTACATTCAGTCCTACACTGAATTCAACCTATTGAAAAAATGTCATTAAAAATGCAACCCTAGGGGCTGGGGAGACAGTGGTGCAGTGGGTGAAGAACTCTTGCTGCTTTTGCAGAGGATCCAGGTTCAGTTCCCAGGATCCATGTGGTGACTCACAACCTTATCTAACTCTGCTTCCTGGGGATCTGATGCCATCTCTGACCATGACCTCCTTGTGCACCAGGTACACACGTAGAACACGTAGAACATATAGACACAGGCAAAACAACCATTCACGTAAATCTTTTTCAAAATTAGAAGTGCAAACCTAAGACTCTAGACGGAGTCAGTGGTAGAACGCCTGTCTCGCATGCCTGAGGGCTTGGATTCTACCTCCAGCACCACCAAGACAAAGAAGAAAATGCAAACCTGGAAGCCACTCTGAGTACATGAACAGGTAGGGAGAAGGAAAGCCAGGGTATGGGGCTCAGCTCCTTCACCTGGATCAAAACCAACAGATCGTGTGACACCTGGGACCTCCTCAGACATCTGTGAGAACCCATGCTTCACGGCACCTGGCTTTGTGTTGAACTGAAAGGAACCAGTTCTCAATCTAGCACCAGAGTTTATCCCCAGGGAGAGGCAAGGGGATCACTTATGTTCTCTGGTCAACTAAATGTCCTTGTCTCCCCTGGTATGTACCTTGAGCCTCTCCTCTTCCTTTTGACATATCTTTTTACTGAAAAAACAAAAAGTTTTTAAATTATAGGGTTTTTTTTTGTTACATACAAAATATCTAAAGGACACTGTACCATACTCATGCAGCTACCATCTAACTTAAGAAAACCTTATTGCCAACATGCATGTTTCCTTTGTGTTCTGAATTCCAGCCCCTTCGAGCATCCATACATAAATAACCAGCCGTTCTGAATCTTGAATTATTTTGAAGTTTCCATGGATGTATGCACCCCAGAAGCATTATTCGATTTTATGACTTTATCTTCTATACAGATTGCATTGTGTTTCCTTTGTTTGACACGTTTGCAAGGTGTGTCCATGTTGCTGTGTCACTCGTGGGCTTCCTTTTGTTTGTGTAGGCTCAGCAGTCCCCGCCCTTTAGGGTGGAACGGCCCTTTCTCGGGGGTCACATGTCAGATATCCCCCATATTGGATATTTACATTAAGATTCATAACTACCAAAGTTACAGTTATGAAGTAGCAAGGGAAGTAGTTTTATGGTTGGGTTGCCACATGAGGAATTGTATTAAAAGGTCACAGCGTTAGGAAGGTTGCAAACCACTACTCTAAGATCACCTTAAAGCAAATTCCAGGGAATTCCTCCCTAAATTTTCAGTTACAAACTTCTAAATCACGAGTTGTCTTTGTTTAAAGCGTGAGCTTAGTATCTTTTAAAGTTACGTTTTTAATCATAACATAAAACACTGCCCACGAAGCTGTTGTCAGGGCTTCCTGTGTCTTACATAGGCCTTCCTGTGTTATTCCACATTTTCTTCTGTGTTCAATCCTGAAAAGAACTTGATCTCATTTTCTGCCAAAGTGTTCCTATTCACATCTCGGCTTCTTCACCACTTGGGGTTGTTGCTGTCTGTTTTCTAGTTTTGATTTTTTATAGTCTGTAGCTCAGACTGACCACAGACTTGACATCCTCTTTCTTCAGCTTCCTGGATGCTGGGCTTTTAGGTATTATAAGCTATCATGCCTGGCTTATTCTTGGCTTTCAAGTCAGAAATCTAATTCTTTTCTCTCAGTTTTTCCCCAGCAGTCCAGTCTATCTTCACTGGTATGTTATTTTTCTGTTTATTTAGGATAGGATCTTCTCACTATGTATCCCTGGCTGGCCAAGAATTCACTATGCAAACCAGACTGGCCTCAAACTCAGAGATCTGCCTGTTTCTCCTCCCCAGGACAGTGCTGGGATTAAAGGTGTGCACCAGCACAGACAGCTACTGCTGTTGCAACCTGTCATATGTATGTGTCTATTGCTGGTTCTCTAGTCCCTTTCAAGTATACCCTGTGTTAGTGTCACGCATCTTTTAAAAAGCTTTAATGCCCTGTGGGCCAGGTCTCCCCACTCTTCTTGTTCATCTAAATCACTGTCTTTTCATAATTCTTACTTTTCTGTGTTGTTTATTCATACACTGTCAGGTTCCAGGGGAAAGTATATTTTTATTAGAGTTGTATTCAGATTATGGATTTGACTAGGAAGAACAGGTACTTTCATGGTAAAGTCTTCCTACCCATAACGGAACATCACCCCGCTTACTTCCTTAAATGTATTTCAATAAATTTGTATAATACTTTTCATGTTTGATAATCTCATCTTTTATTAGGCTTTTTTTTCTCTCTTACTTCATATTTTGGCTGCTACTATAAAGAGTGTTTTAAAATTATATATACATATGTCGATCGGTGGCATAAAAGATTATATATAATATATAGGTCTAACATTAAGTTATGTGCTGAGTTATGTGTTGTAAATGACTGTTTTATTGAGTTTCTGTGCTACTTAGGTCTCCAGTACAGTTGTGAAAGAACTGAAAACAGCAGCCACTCGGGCATTGATGTCACACTGCTTAAAGGGAATGCTTCAAACAGCACACCATTAAAATGTGCCTGCTCTTGGTTATTTGCGTGTATAGGAGGTGGTACAGGATGTATACATAAGTACAAGTACCCTTGGGATCCAGAAGAGATGCATTGGATGCCCTGGAGCTAGAGTAATAGGAACTTGTCCTGTGAGTGATGGGAACTGAACTTGGGTGTTTAAGAAGAGCAGAAGGCACTGAAACACTCTGAACCTCTGAGCCATGGTTTCCAGCCTTGCTGTTTGTCTTCTGGGATGAGATCTCACTCCCTAGTTCAGACTTCTATAATTTTATTTTAGGCTTTTATTTAATCCTAGAGATTTTTTTTTTACAGGCTTTTTGACGAAAATTAAGACAATCTGGGCTGTGAATTCTTTCTCTATTACCGAAAGCATTAAAAAAAAAAATAGACCGAACTACCCTTTCGTCGAATAAGTATTGATTTTGAAATCACGTGGTATTGAAAGCATGTCATTGCACCAGGGCCCGTTCAGTTCTGAGTGTCGACAGTTTAAAGGCATGAGGAAGTTTGGATGGGTGCCTGTGGAACCATCGGCTTCCTCACTTTCTCTTCTTAGGACTGACTCAAGTGGCCCAACTGTCCTCAGTGTTCCTCTCCCTTGGCTCCTCCCTACTTAGGAGTAACTACCCTTCCTGGGCCTAATAGAAGTGTTTTACACTCAACTGGCAGCTAGGTGCATCTATGTTCTAGGCAGAAGACTGAGGATTATTCTGAGGAATCAAAACTGCAAGAGAAACATGCTCACAGACTTTGATGCTGGTAACTTCAAAATTACCCAAGGAGAGGTTTAAAGTGGGCTAGCCCAGTGCAATGGTGGCACAGAGCTCGTAGTATCGTAGTGATCAATATCTGATGGAGTTGAAGTCCCACTGCACGAGATGAGTTCCTGCCCTGCTTTCCCTCAGTGCTTGATTTACCAGGAAGTATAAAATGAAACAAACCCCTTTCTCTCCAAATTGCTTACGGTCATGATGTTTTATCAGTGCAACAGAAATGCTATGACAGACCAGCTCCACATCTTAAAGGCTCCATTACTTCAGGACCATCACACTGGGACCAAACTTTCAACATATGGGCCTTTGGGCACACTAAAATCATATCCCAGTCATAGCAGATGAAAAAAAATAAAACCCTTATTTCTTCTTTTCCACATTGTTAACTGCAGAAGAAAGCATATGTATGAAACTGTTCTTTGTAGGCCTCTGATTTTATCTTAATTTATTTTTCTTGTTTGTCTTTAAAGACAGCATCGTGCTATGTAGCTCTGGCTGGCCTGGTATTTGCTGTGTAGACTAGACTTCAAACTTGCAGCAATTCTCCTGCCTCTGCCTCCTGATCACTGAGATAACAATGTGTGCCACTATGCACAGCCCTCTGGCATTTTGGCTTATTGATTTAATTTTGAAATGAATACACGGACATTTCATTTTTTTTGTTTGTTTGTTTTTGTTTTTCGAGACAGGGTTTCTCTAAGTAGCCTCTGGCTGTCCTGGAACTCGCTCTGAGGATAAGCTAGTCTTGAAGAGATCTATCTGCCTCTGCCTCCCGCGAGTGCTTCTGGGATTAAAGGAGTGTGCCACCACTGCCCAGATAAACCCGACATTTTTTTTTAAAGCTTTTTTTTTTTTTTTGAGAGCTTTCATTGTAAACACAAAGGGATTTAACAGAAGCAGGACCAGTCAGAGGGTTCAGCGGGTAAATATGTATCCCAACACCTGATGACCAGAGTTTGACCTTGGAACCCTTGTAAGGTAGAAGGAGAGAACCAACTCCATACATTTATCTTCTGGCCTCCACAAGTGCACTGTGGCATGTGCACAGTCCATGCTATAAATAAATGTAATAAATTAAAAAAGAAATATGACAGGGGTCTTAAGGATTCCCTTAGCCAGGTCGAGGCAGAGGCAGGCAGATTTCTGAGTTCGAGGCCAGCCTGGTCTACAGAGTGAGTTCCAGGACAGCCAGGGCTACACAGAAAAACCCTGTCTCGAAAAACCAAAAAAAAAAAAAAAAAAAAAAAGATTCCCTTAATACAACCTTAATACAATTAAAGAACTCTAATTAGAAAACAGAAGTTAAAATAGTATGAATCCCCAAAATATTTTTAAGTTCCCTGTAAGATTAGGAAATTGTCATTGTCTGTTATGTGTGCACGGTGTGCCTGGGAATGAGAGTGCCACAGCAGCCATGTGGACAAGAGGACAAGGTTATAGAACTGTTCTCTTCTTCCTCCTTTACTCGAGTTCTTGGGATTGAACTCAGATCATCAGGCTTTCCAGGAAGGTGACCTTACCTGCTGAGCCCTCCTGCCAGCCTTTCCCTGGAAAATGAAAAAGAAAGAAAGCATTGTATACTGTCACCTAGGTCTCCCATGGTCCCTTGGAGGTAGAAACTGTGTGCTTGAAATGGAAACATCCAGAGAGTATAGAAGGGATCAAGTTTAAAGTTAAAATTCTTTTAAACAGCTGGGCGGTGGTGGCGCACGCCTTTAATCCCAGCGCTTGAGAGGCAGAGGCAGGCGGATTTCTGAGTTCCAGGCCAGCCTGGTCTACAAAGTGAGTTCCAGGACAGCCAGGACTACACAGAGAAGCCCTGTCTCGAAAAACCAAAAA